TAGGCAGTCTGTGGTTGGGCATGGCTTACTGCTTAGCCCTTATGGGGGAGAAAGTTAGACCTCACTTATAAAGGCGTAGATGAAGACTTGTTAGAATAAAGATTGAGCAGCATTGGTCAGCGAAATTTTGTTTTATTTAATGTGTTTTTTACATATATTGGTTTAAAGAACCGAAGTATTAACATAACACATAAAAAAGGTAAATCCACAGCCTGAAATGTTTTGTTCGGCTCACTTCTAGCAGAAGAGCCTCCACTCGGGGGAGCTCAAGAAAACCTCAAAGGAATTTGGCCTACTCTTCCACGCTATGAATATGATACGTCCTTCCAAAAATCTACTGACCATGACGACACGCTTCCTCCTGCTCATCAGGTCATGTCAGAAGGCCGTGCTGATGCCTCGGACCTGTCGTCGGTCCCGGTCCTACGCCTGCCTGCGATCAGACTCAGCTCGACACATCCCATCACGGAGTATTCAGCACCACAGAGGCATGCGCCTCCGCACGCATCCACGGACGACGCCCTGGCAAGAAACCTACAGGGCGACGTGTGGCAGCTCCGCTCGGAGGTGGTGCACGGCTTGAGGGCAGATGTGGCCCAGCTGCAGAGCGACTTCAGGCAGCTGCGCTCGGAGACCGTGGAGAGGCTGGTAGCTGAGCGGGCGGCTCGAGTCGCCCTGATGGACTCGGTGCGTGCGGGCGGAGACGCCGTGGCGGGCATCGTGTCCCGTCTGCAGCGTGCCGAGGGGACGCTGCACGAGGAGAAGCTGGCTTTCGGCACCCTCGCCACTCGCACGAAGCAGCTGGAGCAGAGCGTGGTGCAGGCATGCAGGGCCCAGCTCGATCAAAGGTAGTTAAAGTTGCCACCTGTGCTGGGCTTTCCTCGATCCGTTTGTTTGTTTGTTTCATCATCATCGCGAGAAATGGGTAGATACGCCGTAGGTGTCCGCTACACATTCTGCCATTTGTTTCCACGTGTCTGTCTTGTGTCAAATTTTCATCCTAATTGTGCTGTCCTCATCAGGTCATGAGGTTAAGTTTCCATTCGGATTCCAGAGTTTCATCTGAGATCCTTTCACGTAACTTCTACGTTGGAAGTTAATAATTGTGCGATGAAAAAACTGGTGTCTGCCATCTTATTTCTATTCTTCTCTTCTGTCAGCCATCAAGAGTCGGTCGATGATGAGGATGGATGAAATGTCTCCACTTTTCCGGCAATCGCTTCATGCAGTCCCACAACACGTTCTGTTACAGGTCCCCTTTTTACGTCGTCAATCGATCTTTAATTGCTGTCGGCCTCTACGTTCTACCCTGTACCGTAGGGGAAAGTGGAATTCCCACCACTGCCTCAGTGCCACCTATGGAGATAAGCAAACCGTACCTTTAAAACTCAACTATTTAAATGTTTCCAGGTAAGGTCCACTGAGCTATTTCGCTCTTTTTTAGAGGCGACCTGGCCACAAATGATAGCTCAACGAAGTGGCTGACCACGTGGAAATTTCTAGCAGCCAAATATTCTCAACGCATGTTTCTAAATGTGGAAGGGAAAACTGGAGGACCCGTAAAAAAATCCACGCAACCACGGGGAGAACATGCAAACTCCAGACAAGCAGGCGTCATGCTCGGGATCGAATCCACACCCTCCTTTATACCAGTAGAATGAAATAACACCTCGCCGCTGCGGCGAGAGAGCAACTTTGACCAGTGCATATCAATGATCGTTATAATAATTTTACAAAAATCGTTGCAAACGTTTACGTGCTCGTTGTGCCGCGGAAGGCTGGCGGATATTCGCGAGGATGTGGGCGAGAGGCGGCGTGGGGAGGTGGATCTGAGGCAGTCCCTGGCGGAGCTCGCGCGCGAGTCCCGGCAGACGCGTGGCCAGCTCGAGGATCAGGCGGCGGCGCTGCAGCTTCTCCACGCCGAGATGCGACAGCTCATCCGCAGGAGCGACGTCGAGGCCAGATCAGCTGTGAGCACCAACACCAACAGCAGCAACAGCAGCAGTACCATGACCATGGGGTGGGGGGCATAACTCAATTGTGTCACAGAAGGAAGCTTGCTGTCAACGACGAGATGCGGTGTACATTAGGGATGAGTTTTGAATTTAAAATCTTCTGATGTTAAAGAGAGAACATTTTAAAGACGATTTTGGATTTATTTTTAACATTAATTAATTCAAGTGACTTCGTGCGAACAAAAGTGGCGTCCTCCCCAATTCTACGTGAGCCCACTTTTGGTGAGAAGAACGAAAGCATAGAATTACAGTAGAACAATGGATTTGACTTCACAGCTCTCTACTCCCCACTACGTAGCCGCATAACCTTTAACAACCGGTTATACATGGTGGTTACCCATCCAAACACTGTCTAGGCTCATGCCTGATTAGTCTACGAGATCTGAAGAGATGGGTTAGTTATATACCCAGGAAATATTTGAATCTCCAGATTTGTTTGGAGAGTCGCGCTTGTGATGTTTAGCCAATTTTTTGTAGAAGAGAAATGTTTGCATGTAATGTATGTATTACAGGATACATCTTCTTGGTTCTTTCGGTAAAAAAGACGCTGTCTTTCCGACAGACCTGTTCTTCACCTGAAGATGGCTGCTTGTGTTGCAGCCGAAACGTCGTGAAAATTGTATTTTATTATGTTTTATTATTATTTTATTATTTCCCTTCTACGTGACTTTACCGAAAGAACCAAGAAGATGAATCCCTGCAGTCACGAAAGCTTTAAATCGAAATTTATTACAGGATACTGGCATTATTTGATTTGTAAAGATCTGTTTGAACATCGTAACACCTGTATGATTGCTGGAAAGGGTAAAGCCTATTCTTTTATTATAATATTGATACTGGCAAAAAGGGGCTGGTAGAATTAATAAGGGATATAATAAAAAAAAAACTATCGTAGATGTGTTGTACTCAGAGATAATCACGCTTGAAAATGTATCCTTTTGTACCCCTAAAAGGAAAAATGTGGATACATTGACATTGATTGCACTGATCCAGTCATTTAAATGTAAATGAAAGCTTCAATGCTCCTTACCCATGATCATACATGGAACCATTTTACTCCAATCCTCAAGTCCCTACATTGACTTTCCTTTCTTGACCTCAGAACAACTTGTGGCATCTCTCATCTCGATTGATTTAGTTTTGGTTGCAATTTTTACGTAATATTAAAACGAATAACTAAACCTTCTCTAAATGCACCTGCTTTACTTCAGGTGGAGACGTTGCAGAGAATAAGTGGAGAAAGGCACGTGACGGAGTACTCCAGCAATCATTTGAAAAGCATGCTTGAGCACAGGTACAAACGTGCAGTATTAGTTGCTGCTCAAAAACGAATTCTATTAAGTCCATTACTTTGACAATAAAATGGATTACATCTTCTTTACTATTAAAAAGCAGATTCCAACACGAATTTGTCATGTGCTTCCCGATGCTACAGACTAGCACCGACTTGCATTAACCCACACCAGTCTTAACCACGTTATTTTGAGTAAATCTATGATGGATTTAATGGGTTGGTATATTGCGTGCCGTAAAACATTTCGTGAATGTAGATTTAAAAACAATATATTTGGTGTGATTGGTGTGTAATACACAAGGTTAACCATCATTTTCTGCATGATTATTATTTCTTATTTTTCAGTAGGTTTTCTGATATCCACAATGCATTGCTAGATATTCGAAACAAGCAGGCAATGGTGGAATCTGAAAAAAGAAGTCTGATTCAGACTATGGAGGCAAGGTAAGTATCGATATACACACATATATACATTTATATAGCTCAAGCTTTATATTACAGATGTAATTGTGCAATGATTAGTTGATCGATATAGATATCGAACCTACATTTTGCTGTATATACATCGAATCAAGCGTGTAGGAACTGACTGTTGAATTCGTATGCCTTGTATGTAAGAGATTTACGTGATAACTGCTGTCACTAGAGGCTGCTACAGTCATCACAATATTCCAAAAAAGATTATCGAATACAACCTCTGACCCAAAATCTTTATAATTCATCAAATCGCAAGGGATGCACATTACATGCAACTTTTTTACATAAATATCCACTTTTAGTCATTAATTCTGACCGCTGCTAAGTGCATTTGAGTACTTTCAGAGTTGTCACGAATTACCATTCCATGTATTTTGCACTGAATCACAGCATTAAGGACATTTTGTTTCAACAAGACTTCTTCCACTGAATAACTGAGATAACCTTCCATTTCTCTTCAATGTACACGTGGATGATGATTCAATTGTTGCACACTCGAAATGAAGGACGTGGGCAGGTACTCCAAATGTGAGGGCAGACACATTTTTTGTGGTTAATAGCAATCTTGTGAAGAACAGCACCATCACTCTGTAAAATGTACCAGCACGTGTGTCACACACAGCAATTCTTCCGAGTCGCCATTAACCATGTGACTGACGTCCAAGTCCGGTTAATCATTAACCCTGCCAGCCACCTACAGGCCCAACTCAGTCATCACATGCTGCTGTACACACATGCATTGAGGCACTGCACAGCACATCAGGACTTTCACAAAACCACACTTTACTCCCTTGCTGCACAAGGACATAATTAAAAGAGTGGTCCCTTCCTAATGTGCCACACAAAGATTGTACCATGTCTCTAATTTGTCTTTAAAATAGTACTGAAACTACAGTACTGCACAAAACTCTTCACAATTGAATACCATATTATTCCAAGTTATAACCAGTGACTTGAACACGTGAGAACAACATTGCCGAGATACACTGTATCCCCATTTGTAACAAAACATATGAACGGTTTGCCAATCGTCCCGAAATTTTCTGTCAATAGTTTCTGGTAAAATCAAAGCGTTTTGTACAACATCAGCAGCGACCATTTAGATGGATGCAGCGTCTTAATCATCTCAAGACACTGCACAGAAACAGCATGCCAATGGTAATGTCTCTGCCATGGATGTCTCTGCCCATCACCAGGCTGAATGAACTGACCGCAGGCACGCGGAGACGCTACAGGCCCTGCGCGGACACATAGAGGAGCGACAGCAGGAGACGGAGGGACAGGGGGCACTCATGCAGGTGTTTGGTGTCTCTTCAAATGCAACGTCGTGCTCTTTTACATCACACAATGATACGTTACGCTTTTTACAATGTTCCACTGCAACATCTACATTATTCTATTTGGCTGTTCAATTGTGTCCGACATTATCCTATCTGGGAAGCCAAGCAGGGTTGACTTTGGATAGTGATTGGATGGGTGACCACCTTGCACAAAAGACAGGTGTAATGGGCTATACGTGAACATATTATACATATTTAAATACAAATATAGTTTACAGCCCGTTGTCTTTCACTACTGGATGCAGATCTCCCTGTGCCATCTCAGTCATGGGGGTTCGACCATACTTCACCGTGCTGGTTAGTGCATAGCGTTTGAGGCGGTACCTGGGACCAGCTCAAATATTATTGGCCACTGACGTTAGATATGGCCAGGAATACAACTCAGGTGGCTGGTTTAGTAGCACATTGCACTAACTACTGTACCAAAACTTGACCCCAAATTACGAATAATTTTAAAGCCTGCCAAAATTATACCTCTTGTTTAAACTTCAAAGTGCTTGCCTTAACTTTGAAGCTTTTACTATGTAGCCATGTAATGTACCTCTTTAAATGGAAATTTCTAGAATCTGGCCAGGGTTTCAGTTCGTGTGACATTATTTAAACGAATAGGCTGTACTGAATTGCAATGACTTGATTTGACTCAAATATAGAATCTCAGCGTGCATTTCTGATACCAGAAGTATTCAAAGTGTTATTATTTTTGTAGGTCATGGTTGTTGAGCCTTGAGGGCTTACACTCCAGAGTATGTGGCGTAATATGGTGTTCTGTGTGGGTGTCAGGAGTGCTTTTATGTAACGGTGCAAGAACAACACTTGAGTCATGGCTCTACTTCAGTGTGCAGTGGCAGAATCCACATAGTTTTTTTTTACAAAATGAATCCTCAGCTATTTGAATTATAACTACATACAACTTTAAATATACAATTCACACTTGACTGCAACTGAAATGTGATTAAATTATTTCATGTAACATTTTTAACACATCACCAGAAATATAATTTTAGTTATTTTTATGAATCATTGGAATAATTTAAAAGTAATACTTTGAAGGATTTCTGAAGGCAAAAAATCATTGCATTCTTTATTTTTCATGTTAAACCTAGAATTATAATCTACTATATACTGTGTTAACCATTGGCATCCAAAGCGTGCAACATGAACCTAAATGTACGTTTGATGAATTCAGCATTTACAATGATCAATAGTCCATACAAATCTCAAATGAAAAATAGCTGAGGGCATGTTCACGTATGTTGTTGCATCAAATCATTTCACTTCATCAATCAATAACAGTACCCTCGAGCCTATGAGAGGTGTAAGTAATAAAAAAAAAGTAACCATTACATTAACCTGCTTTGGAACGCGCTTGTTTTGATTAAATTCGGCCTGCAAAGGTCAAAGTAGCGAAATGAAAGCCGCTTTGAAGGTCGAAGTGGCAATTAAAAGATGCCAGGAAGGTGAAAGCTATATCACTGCTCACCATTCGCTCTTGAGTATTTTTTGTTATTCCTACGCATCGTGATAACGCAGCTAACGAAGCGGGAAACAAATTAAGGGGTGAATGGTGACGGCACGTGTCATTGGAGAGAGTATGACTACATCAATACCTCATTCAACTTCATGCATTCTCTATGTATTCCTTATTCTACCTCTCAATGTATTGTAATAACAAGTATGAACCTCTTCGCGCTTCCTTGTGATCATTTCAGCTTTTGTTACATTTTCTTTCGCAGTGTCCATGTTTGTGATCTATTAACTATAGAAGCTAATATGCACTGATTGAAACTTTCTTCATACCGTATACTGATATGTTGCTTTTCATTATTAAGTTCACTCGTCAAAAAAATACTCCAGTTGTGTCCTTACAACCGATATCTTCAATTTGTTGGCACGAGAATAATCCCGAGTGAAATGTTCACACGTCTCAGGGAAAGCTTTCAGAGATGGTGGACGAGGTGAGCGGGAAGATTGTTTCGAAGGAAATGAAGATGCGGGAGGAGGCTCTACAGAGGTTCCTGGCAATCGAGAAGGTAGCTATGCCAAAGTGCACAGCAAAACCCGACGCTAACAATCTCTGTAAATTATGAAGAAGAAACTTAATTTGACGAAACAGTTAATGCTGGCTGTAGGTAATAAGACTAATCATTCATAGACAAAAATAGATTTGTAGCCAATAGGATCGGTCCTCCCATCGGACCTTGTTGTGCGATATCACCATCCTGCGTATATAATGCACACAGCCTTGTTTTAAATCAAATCAAGGGTCACAATTGTGGCCATAATAATTTAGACAGCAACACAACAATGAGTTCCATTTTCTTTACAAATCATTAGTACAGTGAAGCTACTTTCGCCTACTGCTGCCTTGTGCCTCTGAGGCTTTAAGCCGCCCGTGATCACTGTGGAGACAATCTGGCACTGCCTAAGGACGTTAATAAATTTCGATTTAAAGCTTTCGTGACTGCAGGGATTCATCTTCTTGGTTTTTTCGGTAAAGTCACGTAGAAGGGAAGTAATAAAATAATACAAATAAAACATAATAAAACAATTCTCACGACGTTTCGGCTACAACGCAAGCAGCCGTCTTCAGGTGAAGAATGAGACACTGCCAAGCTAGGAGCTTATATATAAGCTGAGTTGGAGGTGGAAGAAGAGCGCCTTAACAAAATAATGTGCATATCAAGATGGAATTTAGCATATTCATGGAAAATGCGTAGGAGGTGAGCGGGGCGGTTTCAAAGTCATATTATGCCCATGCATTATGCAGAATCAGCAGCACCAAAGGGAGGGGGCAGGGGGTAGCATTAACAAAGGGAGGGCATGTTAATAGTATGTAGAAGCAATGAAACATGTGAATGGGAGAATGGTGGCAGGAGACCCGCAGCGGAGCAAATAATGCATTCCCTGTGGAGAACACAAGATACACAGTTAATGCCAGTGAGTGGACTGCAGTCTGAAAGTCACCGCAAACGTGTGAACAACAATGCAAAGGAGAAGTCAGACTGCAAAGTACATTATAAATCACTGGGTTTTTCATAACTCAGATTACCTAATCGAATTTTAAATTGCAGCTAAAATGAATTAACGTATTTTTTAGCTTATTAAATGCATAATACTGACTGAATTGTTGTGTCCAGCGTATGCGAGCTCTGGAATGTGGACAGATGGCTTTTGAGAAAGGCCTTCGGCAAGACAACGAGAAGCGGCTGACGGCACTGCAGCGGCTGCACCAGCAGGAGCTGACGGCTCTTCGTGATCTGCAGAAGGTATCAGTGACCGGCGCAATTTGATGTTAAATAAGGAAAAAAAAATGATGCATATGCGTGGCAAATGTCAAGCTTTCCAATACGTATTTGCCCCCAGAAAAATCTGGTGATTCATTCGAGATAATAGCATTACCTTCTGAGTCGCCAAATGAGATAATCTCACAATTGGGCATCATGGAGAGACGAGGCACGCAAGGCATTTGACGCTATTATTGAATTGGCTGAAAAGTCTTAGCCATTACCACTGGGTTTTTATCCCCAAAATGTGGGTCTCCATTAATAATTTTGCACTATGTTTTTTTCATAGAAGGGTAATTCCATAATAGCAAGGCAACTTCATGCTAAAGTTTTGTTATTGGATCGTCTTTAGGAGAGCTATCGTGACCTTCCCTGTTACAGACATACAGGCACGCACCCAAGCTGCGTGTTCTGGGCTGTCCGACACGACCTTGACGATTTATTAATGAGAAAAGGCTTGAAAGACATGGCAAAGTGTCCCTAATAGCAGCACAATTCTTGACTTGAATTTAAGTTGTGATTAATCGTCTGTCCTCGAGTTATTGTGACCCGATGTTAGAGACAGATAAATGGACAGAAAGACGGACAGAGCTAATGCATTAATGCATTCAACGTTCGTTGGAGAGAACTAAAAAGCGTTGTTCAAATTAGAGCACTTATTATCAATACTCTGATAATAATATTTTCAATGGGTGGCACAGTCGTTAGCGCACAGCGCTATGACCTCGAGAGCATGAGTATGATTCCCCGTCACGGCTGATATCAATACAAGTGACATCTGAAGCAGTGCTGGGCCTACCCTTCACCAACCCCACACAGGAGAGTGCGGTGAAGTATGGTCAAACACCCCCTGTGGCTAACACAGCATGGGGAAGCATTCATTCATAAGTACATTGACAAAGGACGAGGACATTCCACAAATTGGTCTGCATTTTATCACCGCTGGAGAGATAATGACTTGAATGAACTCCTGCGACCTTCCAACTGTGAGATGATTATTCTGCCACATCATGGAAAGCGACATTTACAGTATTAACGCTGTTTTTCCAAGACCATCTGTACTTGGCCTCCAGCAGTTTAATCTTGCATTACGAAATGTGTGCAAGCCATAGTCGTGATCGTGAAAGTTAAACTGATCACGGCAGGCATTACAAAGGGTAAAGCTTCTCTTCAAGGATTGACTCATTGAGTGGCAGAACGTTATATACAGTATGAACACATGGTGAATGTGACGGTAGCGCACAACATTTTCTTCCAAAGAGCAGCTTGTCTAAACCTTCCGAGTGCTATGTGTGAGGTGGAGAGCAACAGCATCATGCAACAGTACCGCAAGATGGATGAAGACGTCGCACGACTGGCGAGCAACCTTGACCGAAGCCGACACGAGCTGAGAAAAGTCGTCAAGGCAGAGATAATGAAAAGGTATCGTTTGCAATGAGCCCTTTCTCTCTCTCTGACTGCACCCTCCAAAACATCGCAGGTGACCTCGAACATTGACATCTCTCGCGAAACGATTGCATCGTTTGCATGTAATCAGTGCTTTATTTCAGCCCAAAAAAAGTCCAAGAATGCTTTTGCAGCATTCTGCTTGCAGCATTTTGGCACGACACATCTCTCTGTCATTATTGTCCTTTAAAAATATATATATTCATCAGAGTGTAGCAAAAAGAGGATGGAATGGTTACTATGGAAAGGCGTAACTTGGACTCTGGCGGTCGTCATCATGACGACCGCTTGTGTTGCTTTTGAAACGTCGTAATTTTTTGTTATTTTGTTATTTTCTTTGAACCTATCTACGTGACTTTACCGAAAGACCCAAAGAATATAAACTACAGGTGCTCTGTGATACCACCTAGTCAATATTGCATGTGCTAAATTAGCTCTTTATCCATCTGTGCATCATTTATGAATAGATGCTTAAACTAATACCTAGACCACAACAGGTATTGCAATTTATAATATATAATTAGACCCAGCAAAATAATCTGTTATTTATTGTTTAATTAATGTTAAGCTCTCTGATATACTGTAGCTTTACTCAATGTGGTTATTCAACTTTTAAAGACTTATATCCTTATTCAGCTATTCAGAATCTTAACATGGAGTGATGTCAGTTTTTGCTCCAGTAACTGTGAATTGTACTGTGCTTTCTTATTCTCTACGGTAGAGATTCTCAAGTTAAAGAGCTGCAGAAGAAAACCAATGAGTTGAAGGAACATCTTCAAGTTGCGATAACAGCCCTGCAGCAGGCGATAAGTGGGACTCAGCAGAAAATAGGCCAAGAGACAGAACGTGTAAGATACAATGTATTCATAACTAATTCATAAAGCTTGACTTCACCAGGCAAACGTATTGAACAAATATAATTAACCTGATATGATTTTTAAAATCTATGGTAAGACACTAACTACTCCAAAAGTTTGTATTATTCCACAAAAAACACACAAAAATTGTTGACGACTTGATTCAACTTCTTAGATTTAAAGACAGACCCATCAGAAACCACTGAATTTAAATATTCCGGGTTTTTTTGTTATTGGAAAGAACAAACATTCATGAACGTAATACTCTATAAGGGGAAGCTCCTATCTTTTACTGTTTTCGAGGCGTATTTTATCGTTAAGAACCGCTTTAATCCGAAATATCTCAAAAACAATAAAAGATAGAACAATGGTTCTCTATTTAATTATTTTGGCTGTTTAACGCGCTATCAAACGGAAAAAACACCACGATCTTCTATTGAACGGTTTCTGAATGACACGCACAAATAAGTTCATGGGGGACTTAAATCGATTAAATAAACTTTACTTCTGATCTATAACTGATCATCAATTACCACTCGATTTCTACACTTCTGAATGCATTTCTTGTATTTCTACATTGCTGATTGCATATTTTGTGATGCAGAGACGCAATCTGTTCATGTGCAGGTAGGTGCTAGGTGGAATATTACGTCGTAAGATTGTGAGAGGCGGTGGCAGTTTGTGGAGGCCTTCATCCAGCAGTGCATTGGTCATGACTAACGATGAAGCAATCAGTATCAACACATTTCACATATTATTCAACAGGATGACAACCGTATAAGTTGATCCCAATTGTGTTTCGCTCAACTTTGATACCATTCAAGTTCCGTAGTCCTATTCGTGGGTTCGCTTTGACAATAGCACCCTCTGCAGACTAAACAGTGGGCGTGAAGGAGGGCGGAATACTTTATTTTACACCCACGTGGATGGCTCAAAAACAGTGAGCGTACACTTAACAATGATGTAAATCAGTCATTATAGGTTGTGCGCCCAAGCATGCCACTGACAGCAGCCATTTTTTCATATCAGGTGGTCACGTCGAGGTTGGTGAGCGAGCCAGTGTAACAGCTTCAAGTGTAGCTCGGTGAATATCTAAAATGTTGCCACTATTCTGATAAGGTGGGCAGCGGTGTCACGCCGTCCATCGTTTGAAATCGGTGACTGCAGTCGCACTTGTAAGCCATTCTTAATCTTCCATCGGGATAGGACCTGGCTGCCTCTGCCGTGCAAATGTTCTGATGCGGTTCAATTACAGATCATTGTTTGCGGAGCAAAGTGGAACCCGGGAACCTTTTATGCGGGGTCGGCAAAAAGAGTGCTTGTTAGGAACGTCAGCCTTGTCCCAGGTTGCTCTCCACTGAGCCTCTGGATTGAGTGAGGGCGCTTCAAGAGCTTGCGCTTAATTCTTAAGTGGGTTGCTGTGCTTTAATCTTGACGTTTGGAGATTTACAAAGGGTTAGCTACGATGTGGGTGTAGACGTGGAGATGTTTGGGCATCTCTTACAATTCAGCAGACCTGAAATTCAAATCACACATTATTGAAATCCAGAGGCTAAAAGCCTTGACTGTAATTCCAGAGGTTCTCGTCGATTCGACTTAGATTGTGATGCCGGTATAGGTTCGCCTGTCATGAATCGCATGTATAATTTGCGCACTCTGTAACTAAAAGGGTCCTAAGAAATCATTTCGCACAACTATGGAGAGCCAGGTGCGTATTATTACTATGGTTTACGATCAGGCAATGGTGACCGGAGATTGTAAATTTTAGTTTTTTTTTGTATAAATATTGGATTCACACCCGACACAGCCAATTAGTAAAGTTTGTCACCTGAAAAAATCTGGCTGTCGCCTGATGAAGCTCGTTGTAACTACTGGCGAAACGTCGTGTTCAGATGATAAATGTTGTGCTCTCCAACACACCGGTTTGCTGTACTAGTAACGAATTGGCACGCTATTTTTTCGTGACAACCCTTACTAAATCGGCTGTGTCGGGTGGTGGCGGGTTTAACGACACATTGCTATTTACGCGATCTAACCCTCCCCCCCAATATTATGGATTCCCACCGCTTTGTGCAAACGCGCCCGTCGTTGCTGTCGTTGTTGTTGTCGTGATTGTTGTCGTTGTTGCTGTACCGGGGGATTGCAGCTCGCCGCCACGATGAGACGCGACGTGCACGACTCGACTGGCAGGAGCTCTCGGGTCCTGGCAGACGTCGACTCCCGGCTCGTCGCCCTCGCCGTGAGGGCTGCCGAGCACGAGGAGAGGTTTGAACAAATCGCCGAGGAAGTGAGTTCACGTTGACCCCCCCCCCATCATCCCCGTCAACCTCTTGAAGCGCGCAATGCCATTTAACGCCGTCTGTAATTCACCCTCCACGTTGTGGCAGCTGGCACGGGGTGGTGGAGGTGGGGGTGGTGGGGGTGGCGGTGGAGGTGGTGGGGGTGGTGGAGGTGGTGGGGGTGGGGTGGTGGGGGTGGTGGTGGTGGGGGTGGTGGTGGGGGTGGTGGAGGTGGGGGTGGTGGGGTGGCGGTGGAGGTGGTGGGGGTGGTGGTGGTGGGGGTGGTGGTGGGGTTGGGGGTGGTGGTGGTGGGGGTGGTGGGGGTGGGGGTGGTGGTGGTGGAGGTGGTGGGGGTGGGGGTGGTGGGGGTGGTGGTGGTGGGGTGGTGGTGGTGGGGGTGGGGGTGGTGGGGGTGCCGCAAACAGGCAGTGTTGCCAGTGGAAGGGCATTTATGAGAGGCAACGTTGTACTGAACGGGATCGCTTTTTTCTGTTGCTAAATGGATTTGGAGGTGTGCCAAAACCATTAACTCAGAAAACACGCCTCTGGCTCAGTATGTTTGACACGATTTTTTTTCCTAATCCCTCCACAAACCAATGACTCATGCACACTCACACTGCTACTACTGCTTATGTCACTACTGGTGGTTGTGGTTGTGGATTGATTGCAAGACGATTAAGCAAATCAGTGACAATAGGTTAAGCCCAACTCTAAGTGTACACACACCACTGACGGAGCCAGTGGGGAGAGATGGGGTGGCACGTGCCCCTCAATGATCCGATCGAAATCCTTAATTTCGATAGGATCATTGGGGTTTATTAGTAATGAATCGGCATTTTGCGACCCCCACTGCCACTGTGTAGCATATTATTATGTGCCAGGGACTCTATGAGATGATAGGACAATAGTCTGAGTCCATAATTAGCATAAGTAACGGCAAAGCGGTTATAAGTGACTCAGAATTGTGCGCAGTTGCGTATACAGGACACGACCTCTCTGAAGGCAATCACCTTCAGCGAGCGCGATGCCGATCACACAACGCGGTTCGAATTCGACCCTTGCCATCGCCGCACACGCGTCCAATAAAAAGCAAGGGACAAGTCCTTACTTACTAACAACTCCTCTATCATGTTTTTATTGCTGGAGGGGTTGCCCCCCCTACCTGAAAATCCCGGCTCCGCCATTGACAAACATAATTTTTAAAAACCGTGTGTTCCAAATTATTATGTATGAACCCATGTTTTTATTTATTTTCTACAAATGTATGAGTTACAGACTTTGTACTGAATCGGACCAGTAGTGAATTCAGAGCACCATATACCAGAGTCAGCAGTTTCTTAATAAGTGTAACCATTAACTCTAGCATGCGTGTTCCGTGTCTCTCTGAGATGTGTGTTCCATGTTGTACCGAAACATACACCTCACATAGACGCAGCACAACCATGAAACCCCTACACAGTAGTAGGTGTACATTTGTGTGCATGGCGATTAAGAGAAATCAATTCAATATTGTACACGACAATGCACATCACGGAACCTCAATTTCTGTTAAGCGATCAAAATCAAAACACGCGTTGACTCCGTGTGCCATTGTCCATCCTTGCATTGTCCAGCGCATCGAAGAGGTCAAGGACCTGCGCAACAGCCTCGTGCGGCTGCAGGGAGAGGTGAGGACTTTGCTCCGGTCAGAGTGGACAGAAACGAACGTGCGGAGACGCAGCTTCGTTAAAAGAGGCGGCTTTGCAACGAGCTCACCGCTCAACCACTGGGGTCTCTACCAAGCTGTCAGGTGACCACGAAAAGGGGCAGAAACACATATCTGCGGAGGGAGCTGCTGGTAGGAACGTTGGGTTGCTCGGTCAATGGCCAGGGTCAACGGCGGCGTGGTGTATTCCGCAAATATGCCCGACTGTGAGGGCGGGCACAAGCCGGCGTGAGTAGGTTAAACGTTGAGTTTTATAAGGGCACCACGGGGTGACCAGCCCCTCCCCACTCAGCCCCACCCCTCCCAGCCCCACCCTCCCCACCCAGCCCCACCCAGCCCCACCCCTCCCCACCCAGCCCCTCCCCACCCTCCCCACCCAGCCCCTCCCCTCCCCACCCTCCCCTCCCCACCCAGCCCCTCCCCACCCAGCCCCACCCTCCCCACCCAGCCCCTCCCTCTCCACCCAGCCCCTCCCTGCACGACGGACGGACGGACACAATAATCCCCTGTGGGCTGGTGTAACCAGGAGGTTCTTACCAGTATAAATGTTTTACAATGGGGAAATGGCAGGGTAATGAGATGCCGAGCAAGCATTGGATGGGTTTCTGGAATGTATTCCTGTGTAGCGGAAACGGTTCCCGTGCAGAGAGTTTGATGGTGTCGGCTCAGTGACCTAGAATTGTAAAAATCAATGATACGGTGGTGGCATTGCGCCTGACTGGACTGAATCCAGCTCTGAGCTCATTCAAATATTATCAAAGACAAAATAGAGGAGTTAGCATTCAAGCGCAGTTAGACATCGCCATCTGCAGTACAGGGCAAGTAACACGGTTCCTGGACTGTTATGTTGATGTGAAAGGGCCCAAAGGTATCTTGGTGTAAGTTTTTCTCTGATTGAACATATATCTTTTATGGGTAGCAGGTTCTAACGACAAGGATGATGCTTGTAGCATAATTAACAGATTAAAAGATTAATAAAAAAACATGATTCTAAAAGTGAATGTGTATTTTAAAAAATATTTAAATATTCCAAAGTGTAAAAAAATGCACATTCTCAAGCATGTTTTGCAGTAAAGAGGCGCTAACGAATAAAAATGAAGTATTGTATCTACATACGAACGTGATCCTAGATGAGCCACACCATTATTGATCATTGCAGGACAATTATTGTCAGCCTGCTGAAGTGCAATTATTGGATTTGTACCATTTTACAAGCATTGATCTTGAGCAATGTTTCCTGATCTTTCACCTTTTCCTTTTTGTCACTCTCAATAATACCATATCCAATTCACAATGGCAGCATTATCGAGAGCAGCGTTTGTTCGTCGCGTTATTCAAAGAGATGCAGGCAGCAGAGTCAGCCCAAGGTCACAATAAAATTCCATGTCACCTGGTCCGTAACATCTCTTCATTAAAGCAGTTCATCAAGAGAAGTTAGCATACCGAGTTTAGCACATCACATGTGTGTACATTCGTGCATGTGTATTCACGAAGAGTGGAGTGAGTCACTCATACAGAGATTCAATGATTTCTTGTCCTTCACGACTGTAATTTGATTCCAGGAACATTTGATGTTTCATCATTTGTTTCCGTCTCATTTACACTACTTCATAACATTTCCATCTTGTTTGTACAATGTAGTCAATCATATCGTCCTAACTGTTGCATGAGTATAACATTTGCATGTATCTTTTTCATGCTACTATCAGCAGAAGACCCTCCACTAGAGGGAGCTCTAGAGACCTTTTAGAGGGCATTTGGCCTATTCTTCCACGCAGGCCATTCGTTTTTGAATAGTCATGAGTACAAGTTAAATGTGATTACATATTAGATTAACATTATGAGTTTTGAGAATTGGTATTGTTGAACGGATGCATCGTTACACCCGTAGGATGCAAGAGTATATCATTATAATTGAGTAGATTATACACATTCATTTTCTGCTTCGGATATCTCAAAATGTAAAGATGTGAGCACCCACGAGAGAGAGCGAGAGAGTGACTCTCATGAGCACATGAGTTGTTCTCAACTCCCTACATGAGTGAACAAAAAGCACCACTTGCACAGGCGCAAGATACACACGTGTGAGTTTGATACGGTGCCATTTCAGGTGGCTGCAATTGAAGCAAAAGCTGTTAAACCACCGAAGAAAGGCGTCCCCCAACCACCGCGTTGATCCCACATCAATCCGCATCCACGTACGCTAAGGCGCTGCTTTGTTGCTCATTAAGGTACTCAAACTGTCCTCCATAATCTACACAGAATTTGCAGCATTTTGTCAGTCCCTTGTTGGATAAAGGCCTTGGCATTCCGTGTCCATCACGAGTGTTATTTTTTTACCTTCGCCGCGCTGGTTACTGTGCGGATTGGTGAGGGGGGGCAGGCGCGGCAGGACCGGTTCAGGTATAACTTGCCACTGATGTTAGCCGTGGCCGGCAATGGTTGTGAGATGTTAACTACCTCGCTTGGTATACAGGATGTCGTGGGTTCTATCCCAACCCTGACGCCTGTATATTTGGAGTTTGCAAGTTCTCAACATGCGTTTAGAGTATTTTGCTGCTGTAAATGTCCACGTGATAAGCCACTTCGTTGAGTTGTCATTTGTGGCCAGGTCGCTTCTGAAAAAGAGCTATTTAGCTCAGTGGGCCTTACCTGGTAAAAATAAAAAATAAAGTATACAGCAGTAGTATTTTAAACTTATTTCGCAACCAACCGTGTTAATTGGAGGTGCGAGTAACAACTCAAGTCACCAGGTTCATATAATTTGTTTAAAATTGCGTTTTGCGTTTAGTTTGTTGTCCTTCCCCCACACCTCCAATTAACACGGTTGGCATCGTTCGGTGCAAACGAAGTTCAACATACATGCATACATATCGCAGTGAGTGTATGACTCTGCCTCTGCTCCCCTCCCAACTCTACCACAGATGTCTTATCCTACGATGATTCAACAAATGAATTACAAGTTGATAATTTTAGCAGAAATAATCTATATATATAAAATCGTGAATCTGTCTGTCTGTGTGTCTCCGGACCATACGCACTTTCATTGGACGGCGGTTGCCCCTGGCAACGGCTAGCGACGCCTTCGCCGCTTTCATTGGACCTGGCAACGGCTAGCGACGCCTTCGCCAAGGGCTGCAGTTTCATTGGGCGGCGGTTGCCCCTGCCAACCGCTAGCCACGCCTTCGCCACTTTCATAAGCTCCGTAAATAATTAAATAATAGGCATTACACAGTATTGTTGGAGCGCTGAGGGGGGGGGAAGGCACGCCACCCGTACCCTGCCTCTTCCAAGTCGACAATTTTAGGCGAGGCCGCAGGCTTTGCACGCTACTAGGCCCCGACACCCACCACGCCACTCTGAGGTAAATTCATCAAAGTTTTTCCTACTCTTCACTACACCCCCACCACAATGTGTGCTATTAATATTACTTTTAAACCCAACGCGCCAACAATCGATTATTTTAATGTCCACTGTACAAATACTCATTAAGCTGGGTGAGCGTACTGACAGTCTATTATGTACACTGTAGCCTGCTTATTAAGCTCTGTGAGCGTACTGCCACTCTATCATGTAGACTCTAGCCTGCTTATGAAGCTGAGTGGGTGTACTGGCAGTCTATAATGTAGACTGTAGCCTGGTTATTATAATCGATTCTTTAAATGTTCTTTGTACAAATTGTCATTAAGCTGCTTTAGCGTACTGCCCGTCTATTATGTAGACTGCAGCCTGCTTATTCAGCTGGCTGGGTGTACTGCCAGTCTATCATGTACACATTAGCCTGGTAGGAAGTAAAGTTAGTCAATTTGTAACACGTACGCTTTCGCAAACATTATTAATAAACAACGTTATTGCGTTTAGATCGCCTTATTTATTAAGGTGTTGTCACCCTTATCCACCACCCGACAAGCCCAATCTGCACAAAATTGTCACGTTCATAAAATACTAAGACTTGACTGCTTTAGCCCACCGGTGTGTTCAAGCGGAAAACCACAACAATTACCATTTCTCATGAAAAAACTATTGTATAATTATGTTTAAACCCCACGCGCCAATAATGCATTTGTTTAAATGTTCACTCAACAAATACTCATTAAGCTGGCTGAGCGTACTGCCACTCTAGAATGTACAGTGTAGCCTGGTTATATTTCTGGGTGGCTGTACTGACAGTCTATCATGTACACATTAGCCTGCTTCTTAAGTAAAGTGAGTCTTTTTGTAACACGTACGCTTTCGCAACCATTCTTCACAAATAACTTTATTGCCTTTCGCTCGCGTTAATTATTAATGTGTTGTAACCCTCCACCACCCCACACGGCCAATCAGTCAAAAAGTGTCCCGTTGATAAAACACTCATAAGTCTCTGCTTTGGCCCACCGGTGTGTACAAGCGTAAAACCACAACAATTCCCATTTCAGAGTACGTCCTTTCGCTGATGCTGGATGCAATTACCAGCCAAACGTCGTACTGTTCAGTTGTCTGTCCATCTGTGTACGATCGCTTGCGAGGGATTTGCCGGGAGGCACGTCCCGTGCCCCGCGATGGGAATAGGCATGTCACTGTGTATGTGTTTGTGTGTATGTATGTGTGTTTGTGTGTATGTGTGTGTCTGCGTGTGTGTATGTGTGTGTCTGCGTGTATGTGTGTGTGTGTGTCTGCAGCAAGCGCGTGTATGTGTACCTATGGACGCGCGCGCGTGTGTTGTGTAGGGGGAACGGTAGTGTAGTGGTTAGCGTGCTGTCTGTGTGTGTGTCTGTGTGTGTGTGTCTGTGTGTGTGTCTGTGTGTGTGCGTGTGTGGTGTGTGGGGAGCGGTAGTGTAGTGGTTAGCGTGCTGTCTGTGTCTGTGTGTGTGTGTCTGTGTGTGTGTCTGTGTGTGTGCGTGTGTGGTGTGTGGGGAGCGGTAGTGTAGTGGTTAGCGTGCTGTCTGTGTGTCTCTGTGTGTGTCTGTCTGTGTGTGTCTGCGTGTGTCTGTGTGTGTGTCTGTGCGTGTGTGGTGTGTGAGGAGCAGTGGGTGTAGTGCTTAACGCTACGCTGCGCTACCAACCCGGCGAACCCAGTTCGATTCCCGCTCACGGCCACCACCGGTGACGATTATTTGAACCTCCCCTAGGTCGACTCTGCCTCAAACGAGTAACTGCTGTGGCGTATTAACATCGCCACTGGGGAGACAAAGGCGGCCGGCCGTGGTGGATACAAGTCCCGGGCGAAGCCGGGTAGTACAGCTAGTTATGGATAAAAACATATTTGGCCAAAAGTAAAATGATGAATTGTTTAATGTCCTGAATCATTTCGCTAGAGATTGGTGAATGAAAAAATATATTGCAATTGAATACAGTACTATTTGCTTCACGAATAACACCGGTTTGTTTCTTGTATACTCGTGTAATTGAATAAACTGTTCAACAGTAAAGTACAAGTATTGACTCCGAAATGTGTCCTTGCATAAACACGTGTGCGAATCAGACTTCCTATGGCTGCAATCAGACTTCGTATGGCTTCATCCAAGCAACATCCAATTTTTTGTCAAATTTTTAATTATTTCTATCTTACCAGGTAAGGCCATTGAAGTATATAGCTCTTTTCAGAAGCGACCTGGCCACAAATGATAGCTCAACGAAGTGGCTCATCGTGTGGAAATGCATTGTAGCCAAACACTCTAAATGCACGACTCTAAATGTGGAGGGAAACCCCGGAGAAAAATCCACACGACCACGGGGAGAACATGCAAACTCCAAATATCAGGTGTTAGGGTTGGAATCGGACCCACGACCCCTGTATACCGGGCGAGGTAGTTAACATCTCGTCACCGTGGCGCCCCTCGGCTAGTCGGAAAACTATAACCCTATTATCTGCATTATAAGATGCACTTTCCCCCCCCGCCCCCCACCTGCATTTTAAAGTAGAAGTTGTGGATACATATGTAATGGGTTCAACTGAGTCGCAGACGTAGACTTTGGAGGCAACACATTTATTCAGTTCCAATACACGGGGTAACTTCCCCTTAACAGAATAACAACCTAAGGTGGTGACCACCCGGCTAACTACACTAGTTACCACGTAACTGTTACTACGGACCCGGGACTACAACGTCCACGTGCTGGAAGACTCGTTGAACGGAGATCGTAGACGAAGGGTTTCTTTCCAGAGATGAACAACGCTGGTCCCTCTCCGGACCCGGCTGATATTCTCTGTGGCGTGGCCGGCTCCACCCTTGGCCACGTCCACCTTCCAGAACCCTCGGGAAGGATCTGGGTCCCAATCACGTGACCGCCCTAGCCCTCTCTTGGGGCCCCTCTGTCAACTTAACCAGTCACGTGTCCTCCCGGGTCAACCAGATTGCCATGGCCTCACACAACCTTAGCCTTCGGTTGGCACCCACACACCCTATCCTGTAGGGCCGGCACTGCACTTACAGCCTGGTGCCACCCAGCGCTATTAACAGCGCACACCGTGCCCCTCTAGGGCCGGTACTACACCCACAACATGGTGGCATCCAGCGATGTCACTACACAGATGTGCTTGCGACCATATTTGTATATATGTATTAACACCAGACGCAAGTTTGGGGTGTGCCTCACTTTCCTGAGTGTCTCATATGGCGGATACAGTAGTCAAATATTCACTTGTTACAGATGGAGACCCATGCACACATTTGGCATGATGGTGTCCCTTTTGTTCATTTATAAGATTAAAAAGAAATTATTTCCAGTTTCTGCTCTTCCAAAGTGCACTCAATGTCATTGTTTTAAATATTTACAAATTTTCTTATTTTGATATTCAAACACAAGTTCTGTTTACTAATTGATTTGTTTCTACATGAGGATTTGGTGTTTCAATCTTTTTTCATGGACCAAAAAAAAAGTTTTTATTAGCTGACATGCCCAGTTAGACTTTCTTTTTTGTCTAAATTAAATGTTTGTGACACAATTCCATGCAAATTTTATGAACATCTTCTAAGCATAGCTGGATTATGCAATGCTAAAATTATGTGCAATATCATTTCACGATCGTTGCCTTCATACATCATTCAAAAATGCATATGGGTCTTCACCATTATACACCGTATGTTACAATTTGTTAAAAACACATCTATTAATACAGTCTTATGTTGGTGAGGATGGAGCACCCATTAACCATACATATATGCCTACAATGCATTTCTGAGCATTTAATAACTGCATATTGCTCCCTGAATCGCTTTAAAAGGCAGGTCTCATCCAAACAAGGAAGAAAATTCATACGCATTCATGGGGGTTCTGGAATAATTTTCAGAATGCATTTGTCCTCGGGAGGCATTTAATGACCAGAACTCATGGAAGGTGTGCAGGATCCGGTGCGCGCTGAGGGTGCAATGAGACGACGGGCTGTGATAGCGACTGCGCTGGAGAGGACCTGTCCTATCTCTAACTTTGGACAACCCTTTGAGTACTTTGGCCAGTTTTATAAACAGGATGATTCCATAACACTCCCTCCCTCCCACCTACAGACAGACGGACAGACAGACACGCACCCAGGCTGTGTTTCTTGGGCTGTCCGACACAAGCTTGGAGCTCCCATTAATGAGAAAAGGCTTTAAAGTTCTGAAGTGTGCCACCCAACAGGGAATATCGATGTCACACCCATTGATGTATCTTATGAAAATGTACTGGAGTTAGATCACAAGGGTGCCATGATGCATTGGCCATAGATTGAAGTGTTTTTCTCATTCAAAAAAGCATTCAAATTAATATTTGAAGTATTTGAAACACACTGCCTAGGTATGCACCTACAAGATAAGACACGATCAGAACAATTATGTTTTGGTTTAATCATTTGAGTTTCCGATATGATTATATTATGTCTAAGATTTTATTAAAAACCCCACCAGCACAATAGTGGACTCAATTAATGTCAGAGAGGTTAGTTTAATGTATATAGCATCATAGCCATGTGTAATTGTACTGCATAAATACACAAATATATACTATGCAGCATGTAATATACTTATTATTTTAAACCCCTCTCCTGAATTGTATACACTTATTTCCCACAAAATGATTCAGTAGCATTACGTTTGAATTTTGCTAAATATTTAACCATGAACATATATATATATCAAAATTAAATAAAAAAATTTATATTGACAACATTCTGTGCGTGTGTACACACACATACAATACACATACTGTAATTACTGTATATGAAAACAGTCAAATATCAAGTCATTCAGGTGTGCGCATTGGCCTGAGCAGAGCCATGAAGGTGATGCTGCATCACAACTTCTTGGCCTTGGAAGTCCATTCTGTGTAGCCCCCCGTGTAGTTGCGCGACCTGCAAATGAAACAGCACAAATACAAGTGTATAACTTCTACAAAAAATGCAATCTAAGCCATTCTCAATCCACCAATAGATGAAGGCCTCGCCACACCGATAACGAGGGTTTTTTTTCTGGTCAGTGCGGGTTGGTGAAACAGGTGGCGGGAGTGAACCCAGGAGCAGTTTTGTTTGCTCCCCGTGGCTGTTAGCTGTGGCTGGGAATCGAACTCCAGCTGCTCTCTGCTTGAAGTAGTGCAGGGTGATGCCCATCTTTCATCTTTGCTGATGGTGTTGAGCCGGTGGTAGAAATTTCACATTCGTATGGAGGGAGCCAGTCTCTCCATAGGAAAGACAATTTAAACTGCTCACGAAGTAATACCCATTCAGTGTACATTCACAACTAATATTCAGTACATACAACGTACAATAATTGAACGATATAGAATCGGGCAGAACTATCCCTCTTCCATTGATTACTAATGCATACCTGTCAACCCATACGGTTTACCCGTATTCTTGTACAGGGAAATTGAGTTTGCAGGTCCATACGGCATACAGCCTTTTTAATATATGCAAACATTGTTTTGTTTATTTGTCTGTGTTTCTCCCTTGTGGTGGGACTTTGTGGTGGGACTTTGTAGGATGAACGTTGAGATTTATAAGGGCACGGGGTGACCAATAACGTCTGAATTTGTCTGCAATAAGGTAGCCACTGATAAGGGGTTGACACAGGTATGGTAATGGGCTAAACAAACTCCCTAAAATTTGCCCTTCCATCTCCATCCCAAACGTCACCCCTCCCGATCTTCCTCAGCTGCAGATGTTGTTGGCCCCGACGATTACAAATCAGCCTCTTCTGTGCGGTGGGGCTACGGCGGTCAAGATGGCGTGTGCGTCTCGCTGCTGCTCAATCTGTTCAACCCGTGATTTTATTTAGATTTTTTTACAAATAAATTGATTAACTTTGTCTGTATGTGTTGTTTATTCAAATATGGTTTCCCTTGAGATGCTTTTACTATTTAAATGTTAGATGACATCTAATTATGATATTGTAATACACTGTATAACAAGTAACAGAACAACAACATACACATTGACTTTGCTCAATTATTCATTGCCAATGCATTGGTTCTATTTAAAACCTGAATTCGTGGACGGCTTGCATAATATATCCTTGCATAAATAACAGAGGATGCAGCCTTGTTTGATGAATGGATGATGAATGCTTTCCGTTGACCTTCTTCAGTCACCCTGGGTCCTGTCCTTGTTAATATTGTTGGGCAGTGACAGTCGCATGGCCCTGAATTGTTGACATTTCTGGCTTGTTGGTTATTTTAACCTGCTTGCTAGGACACCGTGCAGTGTACACAAGCTGGCTACAATTGCCCTCAAAATCAGTTACTTATTTGTTTGCGTTTTAGTTATTAAACGACACAATTGCCCGTTGTATTTACAAATGCCTAAATAAAGGGTAGGGAACCCACTTGGCAGCAGTAAGCAGATGAAAAACCACCTGACTGCCACTTTCATTGTGAGCACTGCTCAACAACTAAACACACACACATGTAGACAAAAGTAATCTTTAAGGCCATGGCCAACCAAAGTATTGTGACTTACAATCTGAGACCACATTGCACTCGGCTCTTCATAAAAAAATAAAGGTAACTTCATCATCGGCATCAGCCATGATCTATCCACTGCTGGATGAAGACTTATCAATGCCATCACTATCACTGCCTTTCTTGAAATAAAACAATTAATCTAGATCCTGCATACAGACGATTTTCATATTCATTGCTCCATCTACATGGTGGCCTTCTGCACGAGTGAGTCCACTGCTATGGCTGCCACTCTATCAGTAGTATTACTCACCATTTCTACATTTTAAGTTATTTAACAAAATTATTAATTACATTTGCTGAACTTTGATCAATGTGCTCAAGGTCTGAAGAGGACCATCCAATCAGAATGTCGAGGTCAGATTTTTCCCTCCATGAAATAAATTAATCTCATGATTTATGTTTTTCTTTCATCTGTTGTTATAATGTACGATCGCAAATGAAGAGGAACAAGACTAATGCAGCAGCAGCAGCACTTCCTTGTTCTGCCCATCCTTTATATGAATTACAGGGTGGAGCAGTGGTACACGGGTTAGCACGGTGCGCTATGAACCCATTTCCTGAGTTTAATCCCTGGCCATGCCTAATTAAAGTGGAAAGTGATATCAGACCCAGTCCTCTCCTCTCCCCTCTTCTTCACAAACCTGCACTGACCAGTAGAAAACGTGGGGAGGACTTTATCCATGGGTGAATCGAGGATAGCTGGAATTTAGCTTTTACTGGTAGGAACCACCTGGTTCCACCAGCCAACAGGGGATTATTGTGTCCGTCCGTCGTGCATAAAAAATGGGAGGGGTGGGGCTGGTTGGAGAGGGGAGGGTGGGGAGGGGCTGGGTAGGGAGGGTGGGGAGGGGCTGGGTGGGGAGGGTGGGGCTGGGTGGGGGGTAGGAGGGGTGGGGCTGGGTGGGGAGGGGCTGGTCACCCCGTGGTGCCCTTATAAAACTCAACGTTTAACCTACTCACGCCGGCTTGTGCCCGCCCTCACAGTCGGCCTTATTTGCGGAATACACCACGCTGCCGTTGACCCTGGCCATTGACCGAGCAACCCAACGTTCCTACCAGCTCCCTCCGCAGGAATGTGTTTTATATATATGAACTATGAAATTGTATTTTAATAGGTTGCCTGAGTTACATAAACGTGGAACGAGTGCTCATGACCTACGACCGGGTGTTAAAAGTTAAAACCGCGATCTTGACCTCAAAGTCAGAGGCAGTATGTTGTGAACTGGTCATATCTTGGTGCTATTACAACGTCTGCTTGTGGCCATTAAAGACCTTCACACCTGTCAAACACAAGTGCATTTTATCATTGATGGAAAATTTAGTTATAATAACGCTTACTCACCCAAAGGAGCAGATGGACAAGGTCTTTAAAAAAACAATCGTAAGCTAAAGGCCTCTGAATTAATGTTATACTAAATACAGTAGTCACGTGCATAAATCAAAGTATATTAACTTATACAGTATTTCAATTGGATAGGGGAAAAGTCCATTATGTAGTAATATGCATGATACAGAGTAGAGAATAGAAATATAAACTAAAACTGAACCAAAATGAATTATTTTTAATTTTACCAGTTAAAACCTACTGATCTATATAGCTCTGTTCAGAAGCGACCTGGCCACAAATTTAAACATAGCTCAACGAAGTTGCTTATCATGTGGACATTTATCGCAGCCAAATACTCTAAATGAATTTTTAGAAATGTGAAGGAAAAACTGGAGGACCCGGAGAAAAATCGACGCGACCACGGGGAGGATGTGCAAACTCCAAATATATAAGCATCAAGGTCGGGATCGAACCCATGATCTCCTCTAGACTAGTTGAGGTAGTTAACATTCCGCCAGCGTGGCGCCCCAAAATTAATGGTTGGGTTAAGCGAGTGTTATCCAGATAATACTGGATTTGTAAATAAGATCAGCCAGTGCTTGTAAAAAAATATATGTACATGCCTATACCTGCTTGTAAGGTATATTTGTTCTATGCTTGTTTTTAGCCTTGACTATTGCTCTCCTCCCCCCCACCCCCAAAAAACACAAGGGATTATTTATCAGTGCTGTAACAATCCTGGAGGTTAAACAAGTGCTGTCGCTGAAACAGATCGCAATCCCAACTCCGAACAATGATCTCCGACACCAGTTTGCCCTCGTCCTGGACAAAACAAACGCGTCTCCGCATTGTGAATGGGTTAAAACCAGAACTGAGAGTGCGTACTTTGTGTAGCCGAGTCTTCGCAGGCTGTAAAGTGCTGTTTGTCCACGCATTCCAGATCGGCAGTAAACCACAATGTTGTCTTCCTTGTGCGGCATGTCCACCCCGTAGAGGCCCTTGAATGTGCCAGAATCTCGGATGAAAGCGTCGTTGATCTTCCCCACTGGAAGGGCACAGCAAGGGAAGAAATGTTTAGACCCGCACAGTCCAGAGTAGAGAGGGATGATAAAGAATTGTGCAGGAGAGTTAGGAGAGTGGAAAATGTTGACCCCCCCCTCCCCCTTTCAACAAACTATTTAGAGCTTATTCGATTGCTGTGTAAGTGTTGCCAGTAACCACATGTAAGCAGTGTTTCCAACATCGTGATTTTTGTCACGAGATCAAGAGATGTTTTGGCTTTCCTTTGCGATTTATTTTTTTGCAAAGCGACTAATGACGATTCTTGTGACTTTCTGGGACAAGGACATGCAAATTTAGGAACGATTCCAGTAGTGTATTAAGTGTTCTGTATAAATTTAGTTACGTGAAACGCTTTTGGTAAATTGCTAAGTGACATTTTGACGACATTAAAAGTGATATCTTGCGACATCTGGTGACCTTTTGAGGTTAATTTGGCAATTTTCCGATTTGAGAAGTTGGCAGCACTGCATAGAAGTGTCACATTACAGCCCCCTGGTCTCAGGCAGTGTTTTCACACATTTACGCTCTTTCATAAAATTGCCCAATTGTCCCATTGCTAGGCCCATACTCTTAAGGGCATCCTTATAATTCTAGATACTATCACAAGTATTTAGAACAATCACAGCATTGACCTGAGGATTTACAGTCAAGTGGCATGGCCATGTCCATTCATCCCCCATCGTGAGCTCGAGCACAGTTTTGTTGTTGACAGAAGGAGTACTGACAATATCAGCGGGCCACCTGTTAAAACAAGTTATTTTGAAGAAAGAGACTGTAAACATTCGTCTCACAAAGGTGTGTGTTTTTTTAAATATTGCAAACAAAATAAAAAAATTACAACAAAAAGCCCAGATAAAAATGTCATATTTTTTTGGTTAGACAAAGCAAGTAACGACAAGAACATTACGTTCTTGAAAACATTGTGCAACACAGGGGTGCGTGTTCGGGACAAACATCGAAAGGGGCGCGGGTTATGGAAATAATATTTTTCTAAAAAAGGTTAAATAACTCGTGTGCAGTGCACAGACCCGTGTTCTCTCTGACATTTTGCATTCATGTTATTTATACATGTAAATTATATCATTAACAGTCATTATCTATCCATTACTGGATGTAAACCACCCCATGCGTTCATCATTCCTCACGGTCCAATGCTGCTACCATCCATCTCACTCTTACAAATGAACTTATCTCATCATTCCATCTCCACGATGGCGGTACTCTTGGTCGAGTTCTCCCCTCCGCTGTACAGTATTATAACCGCAAGTATGTGATGCTATATCCATGTAATAAATCTGGGCCAAATCACAAGTGGCACAATTGTTTCCCCGATGGAAAATTAACTCTCATCGCCAACTTCCAACTTCTCAGACGCTGTCTCCCCGACAGACCTGGTCTTCACCTGAGGACGGCTGCTTGCGTTGTGGCCGAAACGTCGTGAGAATTATTTTATTATGTTATATTTTTATTATTTCCCTTCTACGTGACTTTACCGAAAGAACCAAGAAGATGAATCCCTGCAGTCACTAAAGCTTTAAATCGAAACTTCCCACTGGCTGAAGCACGAGGGTTTGCCGCAACGTGGTAATGCCACGATATAAGATTCACGATAATCGTATCGTCCGTTTTGTTAAATGTCAATATTTCGTGATTAAGTAAAGGTAATAAAGTGGCGCAGGCCTTTTATTACCTTCTTACGCCGCGTCTGGAGGAAGGGCCTCCACTAGAGGGAGCTCTAGAGAACCTCTCTGCGAGGCATTTGGCCTACTCTTTCACGCTGGCGAGACATCTCGGGATAAAATGAGAGCACTCAACACTTTTCCTCACCGCACGCGTCCTGCCGATGGACGAACTGTTATGTGCCTATTTATTCTCAGGAGTAGACAGAAGCAGGATGGCAAGTTCAGTATGCTAACCATGACAACATGGTGGCATCAGTATTGATTATCGTTGCTCTTGTATTTATTGAATGTATATTTGACATCCTGACACACATACAAAGGCAATAATTAAAGTTGTAAGTGATACGCCATTATTCATTCAATTAATCCTGGGTAAAATATGATCGAGCGTAATGGACGACTTGGCGATTAATGAAACTTATTTTTTTGCGGTTAATTTAATTTTGTCATTATTTTCAGCACTATGGATTGTAAACACGTGATTTGGTGATGCTGCTTGCTGCTGCTGTGTTGGCGGTGGTGCACCAGTATAGTCAACAGAAGAAAAAAACAAGATACTCGTCAATAACACTGCCTCAAAAGAAAAATATACGTATATAAAATATGCAAATAAGAATATACATATGAAAATATACGTAAAATGCATATATACAAATATATTTAGAAATAATTTTTTAATATATAAAATATGTTCCGACGTTGTGGGCAATGGCTCTTCTTCATATCTGACCTAGAGGGTAATTCCCGAAACGTCGCAGATTATATATTTTTATTTTAAGGCATTTCTGTTTATGAGTTTTTTTATTATTATGATAGATTGTAAAGTTGCAGTGATTGGAAGACTTGTGGCAGGCTTGTGTTACGTGAACTGCACTTGAAGAACCCTTTAAGTCATCTTTATTCGTACTGAAAGCATGACAAAAGGAATCAAAATACAACAGAGGTGCCATATACAATCACAAATTTATGGGAAACGGACATTTCTATGAATCATCGTATTTAGTAAAATATTGATATTGTATCGTGAAACCGTAGTGAGCACTCAGCATTTTGTACCGAAATCACCGTTCTGTTTCTTTAGCACAGCACAAAAGCCAAAAGAACAGGATTCAGCGAAAGAAGACGAACCAGTTTTTTGTTTTTCTTTTTTAATGATTGTATCACAATGCTTGCAGTTATGCAATGGGCGGTGGTATGTGGGTGCAAAGTGGTTGAAAGTCTACGGAAAGTACAGTGCTGTAGTCAGTCCTTATTTAATGATATACATCGCAAAACAACAGTTTAATGTTTAACGTGCCCAATTAATGTAAGTGAATATCAGTGTTGAACTATAATTCTATTTGTGAAGGGATGATGAATGAATAAGCGAATACCAGCTGTACCTGAATGAGTGAAATAATTAATGCATGAGTGAATAAATGAAAGTGAATGAGTGAAATGGAGCTGTAACCTGAATGTGTATATACAATGATGAGTGATTGGCAGAATGAGTGGATAGTGGTTGTACCTTAATGAGTGATCACATTGATGAATGAGTGAATGTAGAAAAGTATATGGCTAAATGAGTGAAAAGTGGATGTACATGAATGAGTGAATGATTAAATTAATTAAATTAGAAAAATGTAATGGGTGAATTAGTTAATGAGTGGCTGAATGTGTGAATAGTGGTTGTACTTCAATGAGTGAATTAATGAAATGGATAAATGTTTGAAAGTGAATATAACACTTTGGCTTTTTTAAGGCCCAACACTGGAGATTTTCACAAATCTGGCAACTGCCTGATGATTGTGTTTGCCACTACCGGCGGATTGTCTGTACCCAAATGTTAAATTTAGTGGGATTACTCTTCAACAACACACTGGTTTGTGAAAGCAGAAATTAAATGGCACGTTTGCTCACGTGACAGCTTTATTTGGCTGTGTTGGGAAGAGGAAGGGTTGCACAACACATATTAGCATTTTCCTCATGTGATCTAACTCAAATATCAACGATGATCATGATATGAAAGAGATTTGGCAGAATTTAGTAGAAGGCAACATGTACCGTGAAAGAGTGAATTATTGAATCAATAAACAAATGCGATTCAATTAATTATGGAGTGGCTGATTGAGATGGCTGTGGCTGTACCTGGAATGTTGATGGCTGAAGGTATCATTCCCTCCTCCGTTTCACATGGCTCCCGCACGTCGAACACTCTGACGTCTCTGCTCTGCAGCAACCGCTTCAGCTCCTCATAGGAGACCTTGTCTGGCCAGAACACAGACACACGTGTGAAAAATGTCACTTTTATCATATGTAATAATAATTAAAATCATTACAATGTAAAACCCTTTGTCAAGCCACCTCTGGATCCAGGCCTCTTCATGTCGTTTCGGTCATGGCATTTAAAAAATCATACTTTACCACACTGGTCTGTGTTTGTTTGCGAAGGTGCGGGGGAAATATGTCACCACTGATGTGAGTCATGGCTGTGAATCGAACTTGGGTCACCAGATTAGGAGCATACTATGCTAACGATTGCACCACCATAATTAACCTTCTCCAATGAATGGTAATCTACCTTATGTACGACATGATTATAAACTGCTTAACTATAGTAAAAAATATATATTTACTTCTGTGCTTCCATGACCATCTATAATTGCCAAGCAATAGGAGTTCAGGAGAAAATATCCAATGCAGAGTGCATTGCAGCTGTTTGCCAATAACTTAAACTAGTCTTTAATAAATAAATAAAAAAGCAAATATTCTTTGCACAGCAATCACGCTTGGTGTGCCGTTACGGTGAATTGAATCAATGTGTTTTTTTCCCCACAGAATTCACATGATACGAGCAGTCCGGAATATCTGGCTAAGTTAACCTCGTTTATTAAAGTGCCCTTTTCGTTAATTCAATATACGGGGAGCAGTGCACAGTGAACCGTGAATACTGCAGAGTGGATCCCTGAGCAGTGAACAGTGAAGAGTAAAAAGTGATCATTAAACAGATGACCTTAGATCCGAAGGCCCAAATAATCTTGTTGATCTGAGGAATGTATCCTTGTTTTTTGTTCAAAGTGCTTACATGAGCAGATGGCAGAGTTACTCTAAAATTGTGTAACGATCGCATTTACTGGACTGGCACAACCATTTGTGTGTGTGTGTATCATCCGTACAAAGAAAGCAGGCCTACATACCAATTACGATCTATACAGTACTTGCCTCTCTTATGTGCCTAAAACATACAGAGTTTCATACTCTTAGTTTTTTCGGTAAAGTCACGTAGGTAAAAACTGAAATTTTAATTAATAAAATAAAATAATAAAAATCACGACGTTTCGGAGGCAACACAAGTCTCCGTCATCAGGTGGGACCGTCACAGCCAGATTTGCTGTATCACTTGATTTGCTGTATCACTTGATACAGCAAATGTGTTGCCACCGAAACGTCGTGATTTTTTAAATTTTATTTTATTAATTTTAATTTAATTTTTTACCTACGTGACTTCACCGAAAAAACTAAGAGTATGAATCCCTGCAGTCACGAAAGCTTCAAATCTAGAAATACAGAGTTTTTGTCAATCCACTGCTGGATGAGGACCTGCCCTACCAAACTTCGCCACACTGGGTCAATTGCGGGTTGGCGAATGTGTCGAGGCGTGAATAATTACATGGATTGTGGTGGACTTCTGTTCTACTCTCCACAATGTATGAACATTGTCAAAAAACTGCACGTAAGTGATAAGCAAGAAAACGGTGAAGAGAACCCCGCAAATTATCCGCGCATCTCTGGAATGTCAGTCCCGTGCTGGTACAGCTGCATTTCGTTCAGTTGCAAGCAAAAAAAACGACTGTATAAGTTACAAGCCCCTCGACTTTCAGAAAAGCCTGAAAAGTATATTTGTAAACCATTCAAAACATGTTACATGTTAACCCTGTAAATTAAGTATGATGTATGTTGAACTTATTTCGCACCATATACAGCCAGCCGTGCTTATCGGATCAAATGGTCACAGCATTTAATAATAATAAAACATTTACATACATTACCTAGTATCAACGCTGAACCCATTCCATGGAAGTTAAATGTGTTATTCACACGTGCTCAGTGAACTTGGGGAATAGTTTGACGAGAAACGCTCCAGTCAGTACCAGCGATAATCAGATTGAGTCAAATACCCACGGACGCATTTCCACACTCATTTCCCCATAAAGTAGCGGACTCTCCCTCCACTCACTCACTCACCTGCAGCTCACCTACAGCGGTCACTCGTGGACAACCTCGTCACTGTGACGGCTAAAGAGGCACTTCCCCACCGGAGCACACCCATGCAAGAACACGACAGCACACGTTCGCGTATCGAATAAATACAGGAATAAATAATTTCAAACGGGTGCACCTTACCTGTCACCGCAGACATTGAGGGAGAGATAGATTGCTGCAGGTCTCGTAGCCCTCGCCCGGGGTATATAGCAAAGGCGGAGGAGTCCGTGAGTGGCTGCCCACCGCGTGCCTTTAAACGCCCAGGGGGCCCTCCGCTGATCTTATCTTTAGCCAATTGCTTCCCTTCTTCCGGGGTAGGATGAGTCAGCCAAACTCGAAAGTCCATATGACACTAAAAGCTAATTATATAGCCATGTCATATATTGGGGCACCCGCTAACTAATTGGCGTGGTGACAACTTCGTTTTTTTTTTGTTTCCACGCTCCAGATTTGTTTTTGTATATAACTGTAATGGACGGATAGTAACGACGAGGAGTTATAAATAGCTGACAAGAGGTCAAATATGTTGAACCTCATTCCCTTATCCATTCTTATTCCTGCACAAAAAATATTGCTTCGGATTTTACACAAAAAGGAAGGTGATGTTTATTTACATAATGGTCAAGGATATGCATTGAAACCAAAACATCTAAATGGCATCACTATTATCTGCTGGATTATTGAAGCTTCCACCTGATTTAAGGTGAATATTATTGAATCATTAACTGTTGAAATTTCATACGTAGGCTTTCACTACTAATAATACAATTCATAATTAGCTTATTTTGGGTTAGATCATGTAGATATAATGATAGTTAAAAACATTGACCATATACCGACACAATCAAACCCAAACTAATCTAATTATCAATCATTAACTGCTGGCATTGCAAACATTAAAACATGTGTATAGGATGCAAAGCAAACATATTCAGAATTTCCATTGTGGGTAAATAATGCGAGTTTATTTGCTACTGATTCCTTTTTTTAAGTCTCCAAAAGATATAACAAAATTACCAGTGGGTTTCACGCTGTTCTGTTAGCCTTGCTAATGACGCTACTTGGAGGCGTTCACTCAACTTGTGAGGCTGAAGAACACTTAAATGCGATGTTTATTACTATTTAATTGTCCTAGGAAGGAAATAATTTTACGAATAATAAAATACACAAACTGCAGCCATGTATTTGATCAAACATAAACAGAACACAAAGGAGTGTACTGCAAACATGAAAATATTTGATAAAACTGCACCGACCATTGGAAAGCGTTCATCGTTACAAGACGTCATATCTGTATCGCGTGCCTCAGAAAAAAACAAGAATTGTTTTCTAAAGAAATTCCTTGCAATTACAAAAATGTGACATTGGCAAAAGAAGACCAAACGAGTCAAGTCTGGTAGCGTGCAGTCGTGATCCTGAGCTGATGCATCTTGTTTTTATCCAAGCACTGCGTGATTGTTCAAGACTTACTTGTTATTTGAATGTCCATCACAAAGTATTCTTTATCATATATTTACAGCCGTTTGTCAATCCACTGGCGGTCACGGGGAGTTGTTTGACCATACACAACGCTGGTCAGTGCAGGTAGGTCAAAGAAGGGGAGGCCAGGACCGGTGAAGACATCACTCTGCAATTATTGATAGCCCTTGCCAGTAATCGAACTCATTTTGACAGGTTTGTAGCGCAGTACACTTACACAGTTTATGAGGCAGCATATATACCGTATCTGATACGGTACTCAAACAAAATAATATTCTGCATACGTAATGAGTCTCATTCGTAAAAAAAATACTTAGATGAAACGTAAAGCTAATATCTTCTCGAAAAAGAGGTGTAGGATTAGAGAACCAAGGTTGAATCGTATATTCTGTACGTAAAAAAATGATTAATCAGGGTTTACAAGGAACAGAATAGGGATGCCTGTAACCTGCTAATATAAACCACGGGGATTATGGAGGATGTAATTTAAGGAAAATACATACATTTACGTTTTTATCAATATTGTGTACAAAGTATGCATTCCAGTAACTGACTTCATTCTACAATACAAAATCATCAATAAAACAATTCTCGAAACATTGGAGTCCATGAAGCAACAACCCCACAACCTCCCCCCTCTCACCTCCCCAAAGACAAAGATGCCCCGTGTAGCCTTCACAGACTGCTGGGTGCAAGTGCAGCACCTATGAAGGCCAGAACGGCACACGAGGGGGTGGGTGGCCAGGACCACGCTCGGCCGCCTTTGTCTCCCGAGTGGCGATGTTTTACACACCGCACCAGGTACTCGTTTAAGGCTGAGTCGAGGTAGGAGAGGCCCAGGACCGGTTCAGATAATTGTCACTGGTGTTAGCCGTGAGCGCGCTAAACCCCCCCACCACCCCGTGAGCGGCAGTGTGTAAAATCAATATGTTCCATCTCATTTGCTGATATCAATGGTTGCTACAATTTCTTTCTTCATTGACAAACAAAACAATCTACAAAACATATCAGGGAGATTAAGTTCAGTACTTCAAATGCCACATATACTGTCATGCAATTTCTTACGGTTATTTACAAAAAAAACATCAAACACAATTCAGTCAATACGAGCACGCACAATAATAGCCACGCGTACTTTGTATCACTACCCTATCAAAGCAGGGTACAATAATACTAACAAATTAATTCAAGGGAGACAGCAGCATCAATATTTCGTGTATCCTGCGTCCTATCTTTTGCAAATCCCTAGGAGCACGTGCATAGCTCATGCAATGCGCAGGAGACAATCTGATTAGAGGTGGCAAGGGGGCATTGTCGGTGCAATGTAGGATTTGATGGGGCCTCGGTAAGACACTGGTTTGCCAATTGTTGACGCAATGAACCCAGCGATTAAACTCAAGCCCCCCCCTGATCCACGTATAGTCTATTATACAGCACCGTGCATGAGTAGAGTGGTGGCACAGTGGTTAGCGCGCTGCGTTCCGAACTCTGGAACTCCGGTGACTTACGTTCGAGACCTGGCCTCAGTTAATGTCTGTGGCGAGTGATAACTGAATCGCCCCCCACCCCCATCGCCTACCTACAATGACTAGCGTGGTGAAGTATGGTCAAACAATCCCATAAAGCTAAGCAGGTAAACTCTGGACCAAAAGCTCATAAAATCCTGATGGCTAGAAAAATAGAATAATTTCATGTGGAGAGTTGAAGGGCATTAAGTTCAAATTTTTTTGTTTTGTTATTTACTACAGAACGTGTAATGCTCCAAAACAGCACAATATGAGTTTATATACCATAGATGAACCATTATTTGAGGGTTAGGTCATTCCGTTAGCTTCACATTGACATCAACCGACCCACTGGTGTCAAGGGAGCCAGCAGTTACTCAAAACAAAGCAAACCTCAGTGTTTAGACCCCCTCATCGGGGAACAAAACATGGCTTTGTTGTAAAACGTCCAAAAAGGTAGACAACTACACAACTTACAGCAGCATGCTCATTCGTGCAGCGGACAGCAGTGAATACATTGCATTGTATTGCAACATCATATTGCACATGACTGTAAAGGTGCTCTCCCCTTGAAATTCAATTACTTGTCACGATTCAGTGCCATGATTCAAGAATCGATTATTTTTCTGACGTGGTAAATGTGGCTGCAAGGATCAATAAAAATGAATTTCAATAAATACATGGAAAATAATCGACCTTTACACGGGTAATTCTCTTTCGCGTATCATGAACATGAAAATCGATTACGATATATGAATCGATACATGGACACTATCGCAGGTGTATGTAACAGAGCGTAACTGGTAAAAAAAAACATTCATCCCCAATCAGATGACAACTTTTAAAATAGAACAAATCGTGAATGTATCATCAAGCTGAGTGCATTTAAAATGTGAGTGTTGTTTCAAGTACCATTTACTATGAAATTCACAATGAGCTAATGTAATCAGACAACTGTTTCTACAGTTTATTTGTTCATAAAGTCCAAAGCAAAATCTGGAATCTACGTATGTACAGTAATTGCCTTTCTCCCAATTGCATGCCGATAGCACTATCAACATCGCAAGATGAGGACTCCATTTGAAACCCTCCCACAGCAGTCCTCCTTCACCGGTGCACGTTAGAGAATGGCTTGCAGAAAACTAGATATCACAGAACTGCTTCTGAAATCTCAAGTGATCTCTGATCCGCACTCGGGGGCAGCAACTTCCCCAACCCGCTCTGCTCGAGAGACTAACGTTCGTCACGTGACAATGAAAGCGACATTTATTCCTTTACAAGGTTGACATTTTGCCAAATTAAGTGCAAACTCTAATGTAATGCGATGGGTGTTTTGTGTGTGCAGTCACTGGTGACCAGGCTGATTTCAACGAGCTACACTCAGAAATCCAGTGTAATCACGGACATAATCTTCAAACCAAAGATCTCAGCAGTGCAGGGTCAGGGCTTTGACCCCTACGCCACCTGGACACATGCCACTGTAGTGTAATTGACATTTGGGTGGCTACTGCGAACTCTTTCTGGCCTCGATTACGCTTCTGTTACATCATACTCGGTCTGACAGATGCCCAGTGATTGTAACCGCATGCAATGTTGAGTCACATGCTCTGACGTCCTGATGCTTGCGGACAATATTAGCCTGCTTTCACACTGTGACGGGTCACATGATGGGGACCATCACCTGAACAATGACATCACAGATCTTTTCGAATTTGCTATACAAGGCAGACGCACCCGATTAACACACTTGTTATATTAGGAGGGAAAATGGGACTTGTCATGATGTCTGTCGGATCTCTGGTGCAAGAAGAAATACAGTAGTTTTTTTTTACTTTGTTGAATGTAACCTCCTCCAATGACTGCAGGGTAAGGTGAATCCATTATATTGTACAACATGTAATAATGATTTAAAGCCCCTCTGTCAATCTACTGGCTTTCCCACACCATATGTATAATTTAGGTTGTTTGACCATACCTCACCATGCTGGTCGATTCGTATTGGTAAGGGGGTGGGGGGGTTCGGCCCAGCACTGGTTGAGATATCACTCACTACTTATGTTTAGCCGTGGCCAGGAATCAAACTCAGGTTGCCAGGTTTATATCGCAATGCGTTAACCACCTGCACATTGGTTCCACCTTCATACAAAAATAAAAATAAAACGTAGATTTTTTTTTGCACAAGGTTGAGCAGCATTTTTCCAGTTTTATTCCAATGGGAAAATAATAATTTTACCAGAAAATGGCAAGGTCAGAATGACAAAACAAAACAGAATCTTATCGATGCAGAGCAACAACCATTGCGTAATGTTTTACAATTTTACTGCCCCCAACCTTTCACACCTTTCAGGGTGGGTGTGCGCAATGATTTTGCCAATTCAATGCTGCTGTTAAATCAAATTAAATTCCGTGCGAAATCTAATTAAAAACAGTTCCCATGTCAATGGTAAGGGATACATTTTCACAAAATGAAATAAGGCTTTCACGTTATCATATAACAAATTACATAAAGTGTCTTTGCTGGCGGGTATAATTGCGTGGAGAATCGGCGCAGAGGTTAACAGACTTCCCTACGAACGCGTCGGCAGTTTTGACTTTCAGGCGTTATAGGCTATCGAATTCGTTGTGGGAAGCACAGCAAATAAGTGGTAAGACCGCTTCCCACCTTCACCAACCTGACAGAGCCGAGGGTTACTTTAATGCACCTTTCTTGTTATTCACCCTTCAGCATCAATCCATGGAAAATCCTGTTTTGTTTTGCATAAATTCATCCTGTTTGTGGATGAGAATTGATCCAGAAATTACGGCAAATTCCTACGATTATTGAAGCTTATCGAAAGTCATCCAAAGGTTGTGATGAATTCATCTCATTATCTATGCTCAAACATGGATAAGATATGTAAATTGGTAGTGAGAAAAAAGTGTTGGCAATCTGTTATCTGCAGATGAGCCACCAAACTCAACCTATTGTCAGTGGTTTTACACAACTAAGTGTGACCCAAAAGCATAGACAATTCATCATCCCATTACCCAACAACCATCAGTGTGGATAACAAGTAATTTTCACGGATAATAAACATTGCCGATAGCATCCACACATCGCTACGGATAACAGGAGTGTCAGGGTAATGACATGCAATGTTATTTGTTAACAAACAATTACGTATCCGCATGGGTTACACTCTGTAACACAATTTTTGTTCCTGGGTACAAAGAGTTATTTTTTTTATTGCTTATGCCTAAAAAGTATAGAACATGCCTATTATTCCCTACAAGCTTTGCTTTTGTGACCAGGACTTTATGTGAACGAAAGACACAAATGCACACATTTTCTCATTGAAAATAGGTAAATTTAAAAATACCACTGTCCTGGTCACAAAAGCAAAGTTTGTGGGGAATAATAGCCATTTTCTGTACCTTTGAGGCATAAGCAATTATGAAATAACACTTACTACCCAGGAACGAAAATAAAAAATGTCTATTACAGTGTTATGTCAGGCGATCCAAAACGCGTTTGCCCTTGGAAGTATTGTTATAAATATCTAGCCTTTTGCCCGTCCAAGGCCTTGTGTATTGCAGTAAATCTGAAGCGAAAAGCAGACCGCGACGTGATATTCATTGCAATAATGCGTGTGCAATTTGTAAGGGCGCGACTTATTTCATTTTAAGGTTATAATCCCTTGTTCATCATGACGTCCTTTTTACTTCGATGTCTCAACAGCGTTACGGAGATCACGTGACGTGAGGGTTGTGAGTTGACGCCGAGGGGGGAGGAGGCGCCTCGCCCCCCCCCCCCCCATGTGGAGTGACGTCACCCGCTAATTATGAATGGGGGGGGTGTCCATTTGGAGGACGTCACCTGGTCATGAATATTAATGAGGGGGGCTGTTCAATGGAGTGACGCCACTTGCTCATGATTATTAGTGAGGGGGGGGGGGTCCATTTGGAGGACGTCACTTGCTCATGAATATTAATGAGGGGGGATGGTCGATGTGGTGATGTCACGAGCGATGACATTTCTGGGTGATTATAGTAGGTATGGTAGCACTCACGCCAAACAATGTAGGATGCAATACACTTTTACTCCGAGCACAAAACAAACATTACTTCAAAGGTGTTCAGCATCAAGCTTTATTGTACACTATATACAAGGTTGCATAAAACACTGTAAAAATCCACGGTTCAAAAAAGTCATTCAAAAGTTGTATATCCAAGGGGGGGGGGGGGGGGAAGAAGCATTCTTCCTCCTGTAGCGAGTGCACCAAGTGCAATGTACTTCGGAGGACACCCTGGATAGATTGATTTGTTCCCAGTTTCCTGCATACAAAGTTGTACTCTTTCATACACCTCTCACGAGATCGAAAGAACTATCACAATTCATCTTTTTTATATATTTTTTTACAGTCATTAAGGCAAACGTCATAAAGCTAACAATCATCATTTAAAAGGAAATACTGCATAAAAAAACATTTACAATTATCTACAACGTTAATTCTCATTTTACCAATCACACCATATGGACAAATACAGCTTACCGTAAAGGACTATCACCCAATGCGAGGTTAAATGGATGTTGAAAACACATGCAAGTTTGCTATTTCAGGATTGCATGGCCCAATGAGGCAAGTCTGGCGAGTGGCATCTTTAACCAAGAGCTGTACAGCACGTTCCAATTCATACAGCTTCTGTGGCAGTCAGCACCATATAGGGATTACATGTATGGGAAAAGCACAATATATCCTAACCTATCAAATTAACCTTACGACAGTGCACACTTTTATGTAGATGTGACAGCAGATGTCTCATCTGCCTCTAAATGGCTGCATAGATGTCCTAAGTAATGAATTAGGGGTTGCTTTTAGCATATATGTGTTAATAAAGGTGTTTTCTTGTTCATGTCTTTGTTTATTGCGGTTGCACCCGATTCAAGAGCCGAATGGCTCACAGGGTTTTACCCAAATCAATGAACTTGAACATGGATGGAACAAATCTGTATGCATAGCAGAGCATTACCTTGAAAAACCAGGGTACTAGATTCTAAAATTAATCATGCAAGTTAAACCTTGAACCAACTCTGTACACGTTACACATTATACAAAAGCGTGGACACTTTTTTTTTGGACAAGGTATGCATAGCTGAACGCAACAGCTGTATGCACGGACAAATTAATTGAACTACTTGGTGACAAAAATCAATTCACAGCTCTCTAAAGTCTATACAAAGCATACACATTATATTGACTTCCAAAGTGAGAACAATAAATCATTTATATCTAATACGGTTGGTAAAAGTCCAGAGGACTGCATTTAAAACAATAGACGAATATTTTATGATGCGAGTTCTCTATTTAGTGGTCCTCTAGACATATGAAACAAATGGAGTAGTTATGGGGGGTATGAACAAACATTAAAAAACACGTTTTACTTTTCCAATTTTTTTTACAATCTACCACTTAATGTGCTTCGATGACGAATCCCATGTCAAGGATCGTTACTTTGACAAATGTAAATTAGCTTATAAAAATCTATTGTAAAAAAAACCCCAATGTATTTGTACTAGAAAATTTAACATAACCCCTTCCTAAAGAGCCTGCCTAACAACGATAATAAAAAAACATGTAATGGGTCATTTGTTGAAATCCCATACTCATCTGCTGATACATTTCAAATGTATAGGAATTAATTTATCGATGCATTTAAGCCACACAGCATAACTAAATTAAATTGTACCAAAGCCCGAATCAGTAAAAAGGTCTAGGCATGGATACAATAATAAAGATTAAGCAGTGATCAAAAGTAATTAAGAACCCACGGACCCTTACATTTGCTGCAAGAATTGTTTACATGCACACACGATGTTGCAATACAGTAAAAGCCTAGGTTAGTCCAGAGCAATGTTTTTTGGGTAAACTTGGACAATTCCACAACATATTGAAAAAATAAAAAAACACCCAATCTGGCAGCCCTGGAGGAAAGTTACCAACATTCTCACGAGAAACAGGCCGCGATTTACCCTGGGATACGCTTTAGTTGCAACTTTGGGATTATAAACAACATTGTACAGAAGGGTGGCGTATAAGAGGCCTTTTTTGTCCAGGTGCTCACATGTGGTTGTCTGTCGAGCTGCATAACCCAGTCGCAGGTGCCTCTAGAGGGAGACAATCTGCACCTCAACCTGACCCGTCTGATGACATAATTGATGTCGGCACCAGGACAAAAAAAAGCCTCTTACCTCACCATACCATATTTGAACAATTTATGATCTCATATTTTAAGATTAAATATTTCACACAAAACATGTTGTATCAGCTGTTTTAGGGCAGGTGGAGGTGATCCAGAGACTCACACTTTACACGGGCATGTCTTTCAAAAGAAAAGGCCAGTGGATAATTAACACGAATGTGCTGGGATCGCAATCACGGTGTAGCCCACAGATGTAAAAAAAATCACAAGCTCAATATCCAGCTGACATCGAGCATCATTGCATGGAAACTCGGGCTCTGAATCACACTGCAGCCAGTGCCTTATATACATGTTGGATGACCGTTTTAAAACTGAAAAGTAACAAAATGAGTTGTATCCGTAAAAAACAATTGTACAATTATTTAACAAATATAAATGTGGATAAATGTCATAAAAAAAATCACATTCAATTCTGGCCACTGTAATATAACTGGGGTCCAGTGAGAAACTGAAAAAAAACACTTCATATAAGTGTGTCCAATTTAGAGCAAATGGATATTACACATTTTACTTCATTATGTTCGAGGATACGCTTCAAAAGATCAACACATTCGGTACGACTATATTACACCCTTGCAATAGAAAAATAAGAATTGAGGACAGTGGATAAGCACTGAACTAAGCAAAAGTTGTATAGTGGTCCCTCGGTTTACGATGCCATCGATTAATGATCCGCCTCCCATAGGGCCCCATTGTTTCCATTAACGATACATTACGATTAACAATGTTTACGATATCACGCGAACCCGTCAACTTCGGCTAATCGGAGCACTCATAAGTGGACTCAGCAGACATCAGCCAATCAGCGACCCGCCCCCCTTTCATGAGCGTCTTGAGAGCAACTGGTTATCTTTTAAATGTTTAATAAACATTGCTTTTGGAAACAGCTCTCTTGAATAACTTTGGGATTTGTGTTACTTAAAAGTTAAGTAAGATCCATAGCAAAAAGATCGAGGAAGTCGGCACAGCAGACAAATGTTGACAGTTTCTTCAAAGAGACCAAGATTCGAGCCATCAACATCTGAAGGTAAGAATTATTATTTTATGCTCAATTTATGAAAATTTGTATGCTCTATTTATTAATAATTTATCCATGTTTCTATGAATATTAATGCTTTAGTGTTCTTATAACATTTAATATGTAAAATTCTATTTTAATAAATAACTATGCTTTTAGGGTGGTTATCTTCCAAAAGCCTTTAACATGCATTTCCTATATTCGACTCACGCTCATTTCAATTAACGATGATTTTCGTGGAACCAATTAATATCGTTAATCGAGGGACCACTATTATGATCTTCCATTTTCTTGGCAGCCTCATGGTATAGTTTTGTATGTTATCAGAAGCACGAGTACACCCGAGACAAAAGCAATATATGCCTTCCATTTAAAACACGCATTTCATGGGAGATATATGTACATATACAACATCTATGTATATACAGTAGAATGTGTGTGTATATTTACACAAAGGCAATCAATTCAGCTTTGAGAAGTGGATATTAAAACGTTTCTGAGGACATCGACTGATCGTTTCGATATAGGAACACCCAGATAATTATTCGGTTTCCTCGGCTGAGGTTTTGCCATCGTGTTTGCAATTCTCAAAACTTTTAGACCACCCCGTGTATATACACACAGTATATAACCCTAGCAAGAAAGTGCACATTTCTATTGCTTGTGAAAACATTTGAACTTACAACCTATTAAACTGCTGTGTAGACAAATACACTACTAAAACCATAAGGCAGCTAAGTTAATAAACCATAAATACATTTCATTTCTAAAATTCATTTCCATAAATACATTTTGAAATCATTTTACTAAACGCTAAAGATAATTATCCTAAAATATGGATGCTCATGAAAAAATACAGATGATTTATTTATATATTTTGTATATGAGAAAGCAATCCCACATCTTTGGGTGGCCAGCTGCAAGTTGGAAAGCCGACTAATCTCGATTTGAAGCTTTCGTGACTGCAGGAATCCACACTCTTTGGTTCTTTCGGTAAAGTCACGTGGGTAGAAAAATAATAATAGATCACGACGTTTAGATCACCACACAAGCAATCGTCCTCCGGTGGGATATTTATTTTTTCTACGCGACTTTACCGAAAGAACCAAAGAGTATGGAAAGTCAACTGTTGAAATATAATTGTGGCACGCCGATATTAAACATATGCAAATTATATCGGCTATATTTGATTTTTGTTAAGGCGCACTTCCACCTCCAACCCAGCTTATATACAAGCTCCTAGCTTGGCAGTCTCATTCTTCACCTGAAGACGGCTGCTTGCGTTGTAGCCGAAACGTCGTGAGAATTATTTTATTATGTTTTATTTTTATTATTTTATTACTTCCATTCTACGTGACTTTACCGAAAGAACCAAGAAGATATATCGGCTATATTAGCAGCCATCTCGAACACACTCCCAATGTTTGCATAGCAGAAACTGTTATTTTGCGTTATGTGACGTCACTTTTCAAGTAAGACGCCTCGCAGTAAACAACACATCGTGAAGTAACACTGGGGGGGGGGGGGGGGAGAATGGCGTTTCATCATCATTTTACCTCCAAGAGCTTTGAGCTGTGCAGCAGATACGACACAATTTACAATATCCCATTGTCCAGGTCGAGGGGCAAAAACATTACCACACAGCTTCTCTTGCTGCAACATGCAGGGCCAGTTGTTTATCGCCATTATTGCAAGGCAAGCTTTGACAAAAATACGATTTTAAATCTTTAGTTTATATTATAAAAGAGGTGTTTTACACACAAGCCACGTAAAATGTATAGACGACGTTGCTTTATTAGACCCCTTTTAGTGCAGTGATCTTTTTGGGGAAAATCCTTCAGGCAACCTCCAATATGGAATCTCATCGTCAGTTACACAGCATTGTCAACAATGAAACACGCAACAGCAGCAGCCTTTCAGGATGACGACACTCTCATATAAGTTGTGTATAAAGTGAAACATCCATTTAAACTCACTGCATTTACCAGCGGCAAATAAAAGGCAATAAATACAGACATTATACTTGGAGATTGCTCACAAAGACACACAATTCATCAGATGCACCGAAATGCACTTCATTTTAACCCGGAAATGAATCCGGTGCAGAATAATGGATTAGTGCGCAATAATGAGAAACACGAGTAATGGTACACTGTAGGACAGCAGATGCACCTTCCAGGATGAAGCAATTCCACGAGACCAGGTTTCAGGCCGTTGCTTAGGCACATGAGTGGAGGCTTGCAAGTGAATTCCATCCAATTAATAGAGGCCCTTTAGTCTTCGTGTTTCACAGCTCACAGGAAGTAAATTACAGAAACAGCCCACGTGAGCTGAATATCACTTGAAAACAAGACGTTCTCTTCGGCGAATCATTTGCAGTGTTCATATAACACTGGGTGTACATGTTTTATTGGCTTGACAGGACAGGCACATGATCAAATACTACGTGATTCACAGAGCCACACTTCTCTGGATTTTTATTTTATCTGGCCCAAAACGTGATCTCCTGAAATGACGTTTCAAGTTACTGATAATTAGTTGCCTCCTATTCCCACGATTATGGCTGTTAACTTCTGATAGGGGTTCATAAAAATGTGTGATTGCAAGTAACGTTTAGATCTGTTTTATATGTAAGCACCACCGAGGAACTGGAGCATGACAAGCGAGAATATCAAGGCATCACATCTGACTGACAACATAGAAAAGGTTTGTAAATCGTGATACCACCTCCACAGAATTGTTTTCACACCCTGCCAAAAAATGTAGAATGGCTACACCCCACTGTGGTCACATTCATTTTTTTTTATTTACAACTATTTTTCGGTTGTGTTCAACAGGCAAAGTTTGGTTATTTTCTTGTCTTTCGATTCACAGAGTATCCTCAATCGTAGCCAGGAACCTTTTAGCCCACCAGTCCTCAAGGTCCACTGGAACAAATTCTCCTAGAAGAAAAACACACCTCAAGTAAACAATACAACAGTTTCAGATAACCAGTAAGTCTAAAATGAAGTGACGTTAAAGTCATTCTAAGACATGATAACACTTGGAGATATCTTAGTACAAGTACTCCATACTCTTTGGTTCTTTCGGTAAAGTCACGTAGGTATAAAATATAATAAATCACGACGTTTCGATCGCAACACAAGCGACCGTCATCAGGTGGAACAGATACAGCAGGACAAGTTGGACAACTGCTGTATCTGGTCGCTTGTGTTGCGATCGAAACGTCGTGATTTATTTTATACCTACGTGACTTTACCGAAAGAAGCAAAGAGTATGGATTCCTGCAGTCACGAAAGCTTCAAATCAAGATTGATAACAAGTACTCCCTAAATACATATGATGATGAGATGGTTAGGGTAGGGCAGGAAACAAAAAACTTTTTTTTAGAAAAGTGTCCCTAGACATATTCCATTTAGATGCCTAGTAAATGTAAATTGTATTCTGGTGATCCCACTCCCGTGAAAATACTTGTCTTTTGACCATCACTCAAATGCCTGCACAATTATTGTTATATGGAGGGGCGGGTTGTGTTGAGGTCAACATTCTCAAATCAAGTCCAAGGTTCATTGGGACGGTGCCTCAGAGACAACAACACGATGACTGTGCAGGATCAAGCAGCAAACAATTCACCTTGTTGGTACCGATCCCATGAGAATCACCGCGACACTGCTCAATTGTTTTACTGCATTTATTGTGAGCGTCACGCATTGTGGAATAGCACTGGATAATGAACTGGTGATGGAAAATGTAAAGGCGGCTGAAATGCACAGATTAGCGATACAGTTTGGTGTAACGAGTCTCATGCAGAAGTGTTTGTTAAGTGGTGCCGAGTTTAAATATGGATGTTAGTCAATAACAAGTGACGATGTAGATCTGACAGCAGATATCTCGAAATGGCTGCATATGTGCCCTGAAAAATTAATTATTCTTTGCTTCTGGCATAAACGTGTTACACGGATGGAACAAATCTGTATGTATAGCAGGACATTACCTTGACATATAAGGGTACTAAGATTCTAGAACTAACCATGCAAGTTAACCTTGAACCAACTCTGTACACGTTACATCATACAAAGGCATGGACATCTTTTTTGACAAGCTATGCATAGCTGAATGCAACACAGCTGCATGCACTGAAAATTTGATTGAACTATCTACTTTAATGACAAGATCAACTTACATCTGTAAATGCTAGACAACGCATAAACATTCTATCGACTGACAATTAGAAACATTTGATCATGAAGGTTTATCATTATGGTTATTAGGAGGCAGATTTTGCCAAGGATTTTTAGTCACTCAACCACTTACTTTTCTGATTGTCATCCGATGTCTCCAGCACATACTCCACAGGTCCTGCGGAGTTCCCATTCAGCTGCCTGTTGTTCATATCCTGTTTCACATTTTGCCATGCTAAACAGTAGACAAAACCAGAGGGAAAACTGTAAATTTTATGCACCTACGAAGACAGTTGTCAAAGCACAGTTAGGTATATTTTCACACGACATATTGTACCTTGGTATATCTTATAAAATGCTGTAATATATAGGTTCACTGTAATCGAGATATATATTAATATATGGGGGTGACTGTTATATAGTAGAAAGTACAGCCGATCCCTTGCAGCAGCCAAGCACGACCCATTATGTCAAACCCAGCCACAATGACATCATATGGGATTCCATAACACATTAGGTGAAAGGCGTTTTCACCTTACAAATACTGCTAAAAACCACATAACCCACAGTAAAACACACATACACACACGCCAATACTCGGGGATTGAACAGCTATTTGGGTGCTTGGCCAAATTGTTTGTTGAAATTTTATGGCCAGTTTTGGCACTTCATTCTGGTTCTCCCCGTTTGGAGATACAATGACTGCCGTTTTCTCACTCTGCAGAAACCAACCAATGACCTTTTGGTGATGAGAGTGTAAAAAAGGGGTAAAGGTGCAGCCCTGCAAGTATCGGCTCGTGCAACTGCTGGTGGAAGTGTCTCCACGACAGGCAGCTTTAGAGATCACCTCCAAAAAGAGCGATAATTTGGGTTATTCTTCAGCACCACCTCCATGTATGGGATAGGTTGGGAGTAGCAACCCTTTGTGTGCAAAAGTTTAAATATTGAAGGCAGTAGTTTAATTCAAAAAGGCATTTTTTAAGTTATAGAAAAACAAATGTAACCAAAAGACGAGCATTTCAAACAGTGGGCCATGATCCCTGAGACAATTATCTACTTACGTGACTTTACCGAAAGAACCAAGAATAGTTATCATTCTACTACTTAACGACTGCTGCTGCTGCTTACAGATCAGCTACTAATGAAATACGAAACAGACTAAACCCCCTTTATCACTCTGCTCTTTGATTTGAACTGGATGTACCATACAGGACCCCACCATTGTGATCTTTACTTAAAATCCAATCTCACATCGCTTGATGCAAGGCAAAATCTACATTGGGCCCTGTTCATCCATAAAATCCTGATTGACAAATATGCGCTATACTTAGCCAATTCATTAACCCCACTGTCAAACCCAAGAAACCTCAGACATCCATCCTATTGCCTTTTAACTATCCCAAGAACGAGAATTGCCGTTGCAGCACCAAAGTATTGTCACCTTGTTTTCTCCCTTAACATCGTACATCTTCCGTCAAAAAATATCCTGAAACAGAAAATTAGTGCTGGATACAGCCACATTTACGAACGCGATTGATAACTTTGATCCTTACCAGTGTATCGATCGTTACATTTTAATGTGAAATTGTATTTTGGGACTGTGTTGTCTTTCTGTTGTTTTGCTGCCTTGCTCAAGCTTCCATTTATTGTTGAAATATCGGCAAGAATTGATGTGCTCTTGCAATTTGTACTTGTATGCTTTATTTGTTATTATTCATTTTTAGTGACTTGTTTACACCTTTCCTATACTTTGCAGTCCTATTAGTTTCGTATTGTTCTTGTAAATTTCTGACACGGTGCTACTGCACTTGTGAAAGAGCTTCATAGCTCATTGGATTCCTCCAGTCTAAATAAAGATTCTGGTTCTGACAATGGGTGACCTTTAGGTTATCCCTTGCACGTCTGTCGACTCGGATGATGCAAGGGGTCAGAAATCGGAGCCAAACCATTGCCGCCACAATTCTGCCATCTGCTGTATAAACCTGAAGTGTGCAGTGTGGGCGATTGAACAAAAAATAACCAGGGCCGTTGACCGTTAATAATATACATGGAAAGCAAACTGTGATTTACAAAACCGTTAGTATAGCTTGGGAAAGCTGTCAGATGGAGAGGATTACAAACCAATTAAACATTTCCATTAGGAAATAAATGTCGTGCTCAACTTGAGGATGAATGTTACTTCAAACTGTATTACACACCAATGCTGAATGTATAATTTAGGATACAAAATGACTTGTGTGTAAAAAGTCTGTGTGGCCAGTTTTGCACATGTTGTTAAGCAAATAAAAAAATGTATTTGAAGCTTTCGTGACTGCAGGAATTACTATTTGGTTATTTCGGTAAAGTCACGTAGAAAGAAAATAAATTAAATAGAATACGACGTTTCGATTGCAACACAAGCAACCGTCATCAGGTGTGAATGAATGCAAGCTCGGAGACACATATACAGAGAGACAAACACAGACACGGATAGAGATACATACACAAAGAGAGAGAGAGAGACACATGGGGGAGAGACACACACAGAAACACACAGAAAAACAACGCCTCTGACGAGGCATTATATAGAAGGGGGGGGGGGGCAGATAAATTAGCATGTCAATGAGAGCGGCAGGGGGAGAGAAATTGGAAGTTTGAGAAAACAAACCTAGTAAACTTATAAATGTAATGCAATCGAAACGTCGTATTCTATTATTTATTTTCTTTCTACGCGACTTTACCGAAAAAACCAAAGAGCAAATAAAAAAAGGCCAGAGGGCACGTTGTGCACCCATGACCTCTGCAACTCAAGGTGGCAAAGCAGGTCCATCTGGAGCTTCTACGAAAAATAACTAATCGTTGGCCTACGGCCCCGAACAGTCAGTTATAGGTCATCCAGATACTGCCAACCTTGCAAAACAATACCGATGTAGGCCGGAGCCACGGCAGCAAAACTTGGGCATCGCAAAGACAAAGTCGCCCAGAGCAGGAGACCGGGTGAATTAACAATTATAGCATTTTACATTTCTCTAGTTAGGGTGTAAATAACACTTTATGCATGTGGAGACGTACGGTGTTTTATTCATAATAAACAACCTGTATTAGACACGATCTATTATTGCTTTATACAGTGCACAAATAAACTATATGTATATAAAGCTATTGTGTAAAACAATTAAGAGACATTTGTAAATTTACTGATAGGTGACTCCAGACTGTTGGTCATTCGGGTCATGTGATCAATTCATCACGTTAGTGCCCAAGGGTGAAGGAGAGCAGATAATTATCACTCTTCATTTATGCAAGCCATGGCTGGGATTTAAGCTCTGGTTGCTGGGTTCAGAGCAGTACGCCAACCCCTGCACAACCTCTGCCCCTGGCATCGAGATTCTGATATTGCGAAATATTCCCAAACAATGTTGCAGCAAGTGACGATCTAGAAATCAAGCCATGTTGCCACCACCACGGCACACACGTTGATTTGTGTCGTGGTAGCGTACTTCAAGTGACACTTAAGTTGCCCTTCTCTGGTTTCATATCTATTCCTGATAATCCCTCTTTCCCCATCCGACTAACCCAGGCTAACCCCTCATTAACCACACTGGCCCGAGTGGCCTAAGCAGACAGCAGGCAAATTACGATGCACTGTACATCAACCACTTGATTTAAGGAGTTCCCCGCATTTGCAAAAATACAAGTGAAGTGATGACCAAAATTGATCATTATCATCAGCCATTTCGAATGCACTGCTGGATCAAGGCCACAGCAAGCCACGATTAAGTAGTAAACCCAAATGTAATGAGTTACCAATTAAAGTTTCCCACTGCAGTATAATAATGGGTGACTTTTACTCAAAAATAGGTCAAATGTGTACAGACACGATGGTTAGCGAGTTTGGTATTTGGCGTGAGGAATAAGTTACATGAGCATCTGTTAAGAGTTTGCAGACAGCCAAGACATGAACATGATAAATACTTGTTTCAAAAAGGAATCTAAGGAATGGACATGGAGATGCCCAAACGGCAAAATTGTGAACAAAAATGTATTTCACTACAACTCGAATGACTGAACTAAAAAGGCAAGTTTCCAGGATTTCCCTGCCATAGCAACAAAAAAGTTTTGCGCATAGGATGCATCGTTCTTTCGATTTGCCATGTCTAGTGAATGTCTCCACACATAGGTGGCCCTTAAGGAATGAAAGCCGATTCATATGGTTAATTGAAATGACATTGCCTACATTACTTATATTAATATAATCTATATCTGCTTTTGAAGTTTTCAAGGGCTTGACAACCACATCACAGCATTAATTGATATCAACTGCCTCTAGCCAAGACAGCTGCTATTAAATCATATTAAATAACTCACCTGTCAAACACACACTCATGTAGCACTGGAAAGTATGCTATCAGTATAACTATTGAGTAAAAAAAAGTAGGGAAATGTGGAATGTAATTTTTTTGATAATAGCCGCATAAAAAATCTGTATAAAGTATATTTTAAAAATCCATCTTAAATGTAAAACAGTATTTCCAAATGACAACTCCGGGGCAATTACTTCCATATGAAACAAAGAAAGAAATAACAATAGTGAACCAGTATCATCAACACAAACAGGCAAATTGCTGTAGAGAGAAAGCTTGTTTTCTATATTAGCTGGGCGGTTATGCTTATGAATTTATGGAAACAGAGTTCACTACACGTTTGTAAATTCAAATTAAAGCGGTAACTATTTTTTAAAATAATTTACTGGTACCACGAGTCAGAAACTGGTAACCATTCCCAGTGATAATGTAGTAATGAATGCACAGATTTAAGAAATGTACCCCATGGTTTCAACTGCTGCCACCGGGAGACGGAATCGAACCAAACTGAACGAGCGGCCACTGAACTGCAAGTCCAGCGTGCTCGCCATTTACATCCCAGCCGCTCCCTTCGATTCTCAGTTAAAAAGGTAAAACAAGCTATGTTTGTTGTTCAAAAGGAATCTGTATAACAAAACTACAACAGTTTTTTCCAAGTTTTTTCCCCCCATTCGGTTACTGGTAATTAACAAAAATGCAATAAACAACCTTATTTTCTATATTCGTGTCCAATTACAAAACCATTGTAAGAGTTGTACATCTTGCACAACCCCATTGGCAGAGACAGATGTTTTAATTCGAATATGCACTCTAAATTGACAGCAGTATTTGAAATTAGGCCAGAAGATAATACAATGCGAGTAATACATATAAAGATTAGTTTATGTTTGAGGGAACAGCTCCCTGGACTACTGCTGCAGTACCATGGCATGTGCATATCCTGTCTTCCAGGCGTACACACACATTCATAATATATGTTAAACATTTATTTAAATGGGTTTACAAGAGGAGCGAATGTTTACAATGGAAGGTGAAACAAAAAGGTCAAAACTGGCCCATCATACTAATACTGTATTAGAAACAAGTTTTGCTGGCTTGCTGGCTGATGCACGGGCACGCAAGTGCGTGGCGATGACGTCACCCGCAACCCACAGCATTGTGTCGCCTCCCTCTCCAAACCACCCTCCCACCCTGGCCGTGTATACCGAGCAAATGCACAGGCAATGCTCATTTGTAAGAACATCTCGACGAAGCGTTGTACAAGTCCAACAACACATGTTGCCAATACAAGCAACGTTCATCTTTTCGCACTGTAAACAAAATGGAACGTCATGTCAAAATGTTTTTACTTTGCTTCTGGGGATTCTTTTGGAAAACAATAACAGTCCGATAACGTGTGCACTGGAATAGAGTAGAGCATAAAAGGATGGTATACTTTTTACTTTTTTGAGTGGCATTGTATTTAGTCTAGACTATAAACACCACAACCAACTTTTTGTGTTAACTTACCACGTGTACAGACAAGCCTTGTATCAATCCACTGCTGGATTGGGGAGGGGTGCGGTTATCTGACCATACGACGCCACACTGGACCATGTGGGTTGTTGAAGGCAGGCGAAGACATGGCAGCATAGAAGTACAGTACAACAATGTATGTTGCTGCACTACCCTCTGCTGACCACAACGTAGCACCAGCCCAAAAGCAACCTAAGACAATCCAGGCTCAACTCTGCCAAGATCGAGTGCATTCTGGGTGATTTAATGGAATTATGATTAACTCAAGATGATCAAGTATGGAAAACATTATAAATGGCCACGAGCAAAAAAAATGATACAAAGCTTTGCAGGGCCACACCACAAAATGAAGGATGAATAAAATATTCAATGATGGCAAAGTGTAGTCAGAGGCATGGCTCTACTTAAATAATGCAAGACACATTTTCCATCATAGTGTTTTGTATTAAACTAGGTGAAAGGCCACCGACGTTCATTCTCTCCTTTTTAACATTACCATTATAACAATTGTGTTGGAACATTATGTTTTGTATGATTAAGGGCACCACTTTCATGTAATCCTCACATTTGAATGGTAAATTCTAGAATTGGCAATCTACTGGAAAGTATGGGTGAGGGCACATGATTGTTTGACTCTCATTGTCAAAATGCATGTTTCACATAAGGGATTCAAAATTAGGATTAATAATAAATACCGAATGTATTACATGCTGAATTTTGGCAAAGCATTAACTATTCTATTGCCAATCTTCATCATCATCAGCCATGGTCAATTCACCACTGGAGGAAGGGCCTGCCCAAACCACCGCCATGCATTCACGATCCTGTGATAATTCACCCAGTACCGACACACAAGCCAAATTCATTGCTACATCTCTCTCAGACACATTCAGTTCCTTGGCTCTCATGTTTTCTAATTACACCAACAAATAATCACATTCTATATTTAGAAGCACATGATAGTCCTTGGTGATGAACAGTCTACATTTCTGGGTCAGGAAATCAAATACTGTAGATAAACACAACACCCAGATCAGATTTGAAAGAGACTTGAAATCTCAATGGTTCTCACCTGCTAATATAAAGTGTATCATTCAATCAACCAATTAAATGAAACATACTTTGAAAAGCTATCTGTAAAAAGCTTGCTCGATGCATGCACACGCATGCCTCATCTTCCTAACCATCAGCAAACAGCACCAAGTCCAGTTCCTCTGCATGGATGACAAACAACGTTGCTTGACACGCGCGGGGCACACTGGCAAACTGGCACACTGCCAACTGGAATACTTGCCAACCTGCACCATCCACCAGTGCACAGCCAGTTATTTTGTTCCATTTGTATAACCTTCTGAGCACACCCCCCTGGATTAGGTTACTTGGAGCAGCATCCATGTGTTCTCACTATAGTGGCAAGAGCTGGTGTTGCGAAAAAGCCACTGAAAAATTGTAATCGGCTACGAAAAGTTTCAGGAGCAGGTTTCTTGCAACGTCACTCTTTCAACAACCACCGGTCTTGAATATTTAAGAAATCTGGAGCCACGAATTCTCCTCCTGCTTAGGTTTGCACAGCTGTGCTATATATAGCTCGTGTTGTTTGGTACAAAGTACAACTTTTTCGCTCCACATACCGGATTCCTGAAGCTCCTGGTACGTGGAGCGGAACGTCGGAAATAATGCAAAACAAGACATAACATAAATTGCTTGGCCAGAGTTATAGGATCTTCAGGAGATCCTCAGGAGTGGGGCCGCTTTTGTGGATAAGCACATTTTCCAATAAGTGGTTTAGTTTCCAATGTGTGGAAATATATTTTTTTATCCATGACTATTATCTGCAATATTCATAGCTAATGGTAAGAATATTGCGTGTGGTCCAGTACCATGACTTATCTATGACAATCACGAATAATGGGATGAGTTTATCGCAAGGAACGGGGTTCGTGGACTCCTCTTATCCACAACTTTTCTCTGATAATCACAGATAATATAGAATGGGATGAATTTCGCACGTAGTAGAGTTCCATGACTGCTACCCGTGGTAAACATGGGTAACGGAATGATCATCATGGAGTACTGCACAGTACTATACTTGGGTGTTTGTGACAGCATCTGCTACAAAGAGATGATAAAATTCCTCAACGTCATCAAACATCACCATGCACCATCATCTATTTCACCAACAATCATTTAGTAATTCTTCATCTATCACCATATGCATCACCATTGTGCCATGACTAGCATTTACGGTGTTAAGTTTACTTGCAGCGCTATCCCACATGGGTATCGAACAGAATACAAACACTTCTCACCAACTTCTCTAGCTTGCCACTCCAATGCCCGTTCCTGCAAGTAGTCTCTCGGTTGCATAGACTGACAACGACAATGATCAACCACGCGGCGGTGACTGCAGTTGTGACCACGGCAACAAATCATCTATACCACCATCCATCGTCTTCGTCATCCATAACTCATCATCCCTTATTGTGCCGACGACTGGCGAACAAGGTAGGCGAGACTTTCATCGAGCAGAAAATTGATAAAAATGCGCTGTACGTATACATTACATAAAGTATACCATATATCTGCACGTCCCAGTATGTTTAAACGTGGATATTCACACACATGGCAAGCAATGTGTTCTTAACAGTGGAGCGGCCCCCCCTACGTGCTGTGGCACTCACTGCTGTAGACGAAGCTGACGTTTTCGGCGTGCGAGGACGTGCCGAGCTCCTTGTGCGCCGGTGCCGGTGTGGGAAGGTGCAGCCCGTTGCTCCGCTTGCCATTGACGGGGTTGAACACCAATTTGGGGGTCACGCAGCTGACATGGCAACAGCACAAGACAGGAAACAGAACTTAGCGGCGCATCGCAGCACACGCCTATAAATTGTAATTGCTTCAAAGCGGGCGATTGGGATAATAGTGCGGAGGCCGTCAAGCATACAAGATACAAAATCTTCCTGGTTGCGAGGTGGCCATTAAGTGGCAGCACGAATTTTAACGATATCCCTTTGTAGTGTTTGTTTTCACTAGGTTTCCGCTCACCCACGTAAATACGAAAAATACCAGGCAGGACCCTCATAAAAGGACATTTTTGTGACTCAGTCTGTTTCCTGGATAGAGGACATTCATGTATTTAAAGTGTCTTGCCAACTTTCCCAAATAATAAAGCCACGAGCCAAAATTCAGTAAAAAAATGCACAAGCACAGATTATGTAATGCTTTCCAACTTCCGTTTATCCTTGGAAACAATCAGCAGTCCGAATCCTCACTGGTAGCTGGTAGGGGAAATTAATGTTTGCATCTTTATAAATTGTCCCTTTTTTACCATTGCTTTGTGTCTCTCAAGTTCTAGATGGTAATTCCGGCAGTCACGAAAGCTTTAAGTCAAGATTTAATTTGATCACGTTTTCTAGTTGTCTCAAAGGGCAACTCCATATTAGTTACAACTTCATAATTTATAATGAGTCATGTTTACCAAGAGCTATCGTGCCTCCCCCCACCCCATTATGGACAGGGCGAATTCATATATGCTTTAGTATGAGTGTAAAATATCCAAATGAGACAGCATTTCACAACTTTTTTTTTCTGCAGCAGCCAGCAAAGACCGGGCACGCCAATTACATGTATTGTACGTCTGTGCATTATTTTAGAAGGCACGTGGCCAATGTTAAGTAATGCTGCAGTCAGCCGATTTAAAGACATTAAATGGAATGAGCTGTACATTCTAACTCACTTCAGCTGGCTGGGAGAAACAAAGTTTTAGTTGGCATGTTTTGATAAAAAAAATGATTACGCAGTCAGGAAGTTATTTCTACTGTGAAACGTCACGGTTTATGGGAAAGCAAAATTAGTGCTGCGAAGCATCACATGTCTTGGGATGTGAGCACGTTTTCTACAGGCAACCACTACTTTGGAAAATAACGATAACAACCACACACACAAGTATCATTACACTCACTATAACAACCATCTCCAGATGTTGCCTTCTCTAACACTGGCTTTGATAAACAAAATACAATACAAGTGGTACATAATTACAATATGTACAATAAACCTCATGTAGAACTTGTCTTTAAATGTAAAGACACTGTTGAATGTCGTGTTACAAATGAGAGATGTATAACCTTCACATTGTAAAGGAGACAAACTGAAGAGGTCGTTGTTCACAACATTCATTTCTCAAGGTCACTACAAGGGACGGAGAGCACAAGGCAGAGGTTTTTAAGTTTAAAGGTTTGAAACCGAATTCCTGAAGACTGGTTTTTCAAACCACATTTTTGGTTCAGTGACCAGGAGAAAATGCTATTGCAACATTTAATAATGCGCAACGATATATGCATTGTTAAAGAAGCATAATCAACATTAACGTTTAGGATTGCGTATAGTGAAAGATCATACTGGGGATATTTATTTATTTCAAGTGCTGTACACACCCCGATACGAGTTGGTAGGTAAATCAATGCTCATCCACACTTTGGACAGAACAAAACTTGCGGAACATTAAAACACCGTACCCCACGATTAATTAAATCGCCAAGTTGCAAAGTTTTACTTCCGTATATATAGGTTCGATATGGGTTTGTATTTGTCCAAGTTTGCTGTGACGTACATTCTTTCGTATGCTAATACAAATGCTCGAAACTACAGTTTAAATTGACAAGTGCGTTTTGTGTTCAGCCAGCCCCAGAAACAAAAACAAACAGTCCCAACAACTCCAGCCCAGCCATTATCTCACTTGTGATCTACTGATAAATGTGACCTTAGGGACCTACCTACCCAGAGAAGACATCCCATTATACATTATTACACCCACACCTGCTCTATGCATTATTGAGCTCATACGTCAATGCATCGTGCGCACTGCTGTTAAATTGCAGAAATTCCATAAAAAGGAGGACATTTGAAAGTATTGTTTTAGGAAACTATATTAATGTGCCTAGTTTACTTTAACCACAGGCAATATACGCCATGTAAAGTAATTCCTGCGTCAATAGAAAAAAAAGTAATTACTGCCTTGTGACAGTGTTTTTCAAGTCAGACCTGGGGGTCAATTGTAATTGCAATTACAGTTGAATTGTCAGCTGAAAGTCTGCCCTAGGATGCACAATTATTGTGGTAAACCTTTCAAGTTTCAGTAGGAATAAGGAGCTTCAGCTATGGACAAGTCGCCCGGAATGTCCGATCGTCATATCTTGGAAGCCAAGCAGCGCCGAGAACCTGAAGTGCTTCGATGGGTTCACCACCATGCACAAAACAGGTTGCCATGTAGGGCTTGTGGGACCATATTGTAGTAGGCAGCAGTGGGAAAATCAGATAAATGTATTGTTGTAATGTACTTCTGGTCCTGCGTCTATGCTCTCCACCTTCACCAGCTCGTACTGACCAGCATGGTTATGTATGGTTAAACAGCCCCCTTGAGCTGCACAGTGTGGGAAAGCCATCATTTAACAGTGTGGAGTGACAATACAATGGATTTGCAGTGTTTTATGATTTGCATTTAAAATACACAGACCTTTATACAGGACATTTTCAATTAGGTAGTCTGTGACCAATCACGAATCTACAATTTTACATGACCACACACCGCCTGACCCAAGCAGGAAACAAATCGCTACCCACGGTGACGTAATTACTCTCAAATGAAGCCATCAATGACGTTACTCAGGCCAGCAATAACATGCAATAAATATTACAATATTAAGTGGCACAACACATTGCCAATGAGCAAACACCTTGATTGCAAGGAGGTGCACAGTGGTTAAGCACACTGCACAATGAACCTGACAACCTGAGTTTGATTCCTGGGCACGGATAACATCAGTGGCGAGTAATATTGGATTCTTTCCGAGGCAGGGCGCCAAGGACACCCCATTTCACCGCCTCACACCGACCAGCATGGGTAAGTGTGGTCAAACAACCCGTGACCAATACGGATCTGGCATATGTGTGGGTCCCTTAAAGAGAATGCCAGTCACATGTTAAGTCGAGATTAGACTTGTAATCCAGCCAAACTCGGGTTGTAAAGAGAGTAAAATATGTCAGTTTAACAAAAATCACATTTGAATCACCACCTCTAGTACAGTATTGTATTTCCAAATCTGTTCCACGTTCTCGATTGCAGATACTGAATGTACTTAAAACTTCAACCGGAACTGTTCTTTGCAAAAGCACATTTAAGGAAAGAAACCTAATCTATTAATCATCTAAAAAAAAAACATTTAATAAAAAGTATGCAAGCAACAATAAATCACGATATAACAATATTTAGAAACATATTAAAGCATTGATTACCACGGATATTTTATCGTACAATATATCGTAGTGTCGGTATATTTCAGGAAACTAAGTTATTACGGTGTCTAAAAAGGATGAACGCAATGTGTCAAATTTGTGGCACCACTCTTGATAAAAGGTGTAGCAACTGAATGTATATGTAATATTAAATCAATATTTCGACAAATACCTTTTTGGGTGTTTGCCACTTTCCAAGGTCAAGTGGCAATGATCGATACACTACAAAGGTCACAGGGGCTTAAGAATGCATATCGACTCTGATTAAAATAGATTCTCAAGCTCAAGTAATTAGACTGGACACTGAATGAATCTCGAGACCCAGTGGTGAGCAACAACGCGCCGACCTTGGCAACTGGGCGCAAATGGAGGCCAGGAAAAGCAGTCCAGGAGGCAACAGCAGCCCTCAGACATGCTGACATTGTGGGTCATGTTCAGCAAGGGAGAGGAGGCCTTGGGCTAACTAGCCGTGCTGCTTGGAGTAAGGCCACTGCACCAGAGCGGCGGAAGATGGTAGTGCAGGAAGTACGCCATCAGGAGGAGGCTGCAAGGTGGGCTAAGGCAGTCTCTCTTGCCAAACAAGGACAGTGGACTCGATGGGACAGTGTGGAGAAGAGGAAGATCAGCTGGAAGGATCTGTGGGCCATGGAAGCGAGGCGGTTGAGCTTTTCCATCAGAGCAACATATGACATCCTTCCAACACCAGTTAATCTTCACCAATGGTATGGTGAAGATCCGGACTGTGCCCTCTGTTCCATGCCAGCCAACCTCAGGCACATTCTTACAGGGTGTAAAACAAGCCTCACCCAAGGACGCTACACTTGGCGTCACAACCAAGTCCTTAGAAACCTTGCGTCCGCCCTGGAGGACAAGCGAGCTGCCACCAACTCCCTACCACCCCCAGCAGCATCACACCCCTTACGGACGACCTTTGTCCGCGAAGGGGCTAAACCACTGAAGAGCGGCTCTACACCAATAGAGCGAGACCAGCTGCGCTTGGCCCGCGACTGGAAAATGCTAGCTGACATTGGCCGGCAACTTGTGTTTCCTCCGGAGATCGCAACCACCACCCTAAGACCTGACATGGTGCTCTGGTCCCGTTCGCTCAAGAAGGTCTTCATCATTGAGCTCACAGTACCCTGGGAGGACTCAGTAGATGAGGCTTATGAGCGAAAACATCTGCGCTATGCCGATCTAGCTGCCGAAGCACGGCATCATGGCTGGAACACAGAAGTCCGATCAGTGGAGGTGGGCTGCAGAGGTTTTGTGGCAACATCTACAACCAGACTGCTTAGAGACCTGGGAATTAAGGGCCAGAGCCAGCGTTCGGCAATCAAAGCTGTATCGGAGGCGGCAGAAGGCAGCAGTCAGTGGCTCTGGATGAAGAGGAAAGACCCCAGCTGGGCCCCAAAGTGAGAGGGCCAGGAGGTATGCAGTCAACAATGCTTGACTCAGGGAGGAGGACGCCCCTGCCATGCATAGTCCCATGGAATGTTGGCTACCAACAACAAGGCAACTCCTATGACT